CTTATCTTCTGCCCAACAAAAGAAGGCCCATAGACACCAGACAAGCCATTGTGAAACATCAGAGGAGAAAAGACTTTGTTGTTTGCTCCCCTGCCCACCGTTGAAGAGGAGAAGTATAAGTGAACTTGTCTCATCATCCTGAACTCTGGGAGAAGGCTCTCCCAGCACTGTAAAAAAACTACCCCCACAAGGGGAGTAGCCACCAGCACTGGGCCCAGCGCTGGTGCACTGTCTACACTGCCACTTTACAGCGCTGAAATTTGCAGCGCTCAGGGGTGTGTTTTTTCACACCCCTGAGTAAAGTGGCAGTGTAGACAAGCCCTAAGAATAGACAGATTACTACAATGCTGTCACTTTTAGGCTCTAGATGGTTACTCATTTTTGTGTGTTAGGTTGCTTTAACTTGTAAATAACTCTCTTATTCCTTTCTCCTAGGTAATAAACCTTTAGACAGTTTATTTCAGGATTGGCTACAGGTGTTGTTCTTGGTGTAAGATGTAGGGTACTAACTGGTCTGGGGTAAGTGACTGGTCTCTTGGGACTGGAAGCAACCTGAACGTGGTGTGATTTTTAAGTGACCATTTATCACTAAGTCCAGATTGTCTGGGTAGCAAGATAGATAGGAGAGTCCAAGGCAGTGATCCCCAAACTGTGGGGCACACCCCCCCAGGCAAACACAGAGAAATTTTTTTGGGGGGGTACACAGCAGGGCCAGGGCCAGCCCCCACAGGAGGTCGGGAGAGAGCACCACGCTTCCAGACCCACTCCACCCCCAGCCTCACTCCTCTCCCCCAACCCCATTCAGCCCCCAGTGTTGGGCCTCCAGGCCCAGCTACACCCTCATTCCCTCAGACCAGCTCTGCCCCCAGCCACAGCTCCACTCCACTCTGCCCTCAGCATTCCCTCTCCACCCTCAGACCAGCTCCCCCTCTAGCCCCAGCTCCCCCCCCCACCCCATTCCCCACTTCTGTCCCCAGCTCCATCTTCTGCCCAAGCTTGGTTGCTGAAGAAACCTTGGCTATGCAGTACTCAGGGGTGGGGCGCGGACAGTTTCCGTTATTGGCATGTGGGGGTGTGACTGAAAAAGTTTGAGCACCACTGGTCTAAGGGGACTGTCTGTGACTCCAGGGTAAGACATTTGCCCATGAACTTTCCTAAATAATAACACCTAGCTCTTAGGCAGTGCTTTTCACCACTACATCTCAAAGCATTTAGAGGAGAGGAAAGTGATCAGGAACAGTCAGCATGGATTCATCAAGGGCAAGTCATGCCTGACTAATCTAATTGCCTTTTATGACGAGATAACTGGCCCTGTGGATGAGGGGAAAGCGGTGGACGTGTTGTTCCTTGACTTTAGCAAAGCTTTTGACACGGTCTCCCACAGTATTTTTGCCAGTAAGTTAAAGAAGAATGGGCTGGATGAATGGACAATAAGGTGGATAGAAAGCTGGCTAGATTGTCGGGCTCAACGGGTAGTGAACAATGGCTCCATGTCTAGTTGGCAGCCGGTATCAAGTGGAGTGCGCCAAGGGTTGGTCTTCGGGCCGGTTTTGTTCAATATCTTCATTAAAGATCTGGAGGATGGTGTGGATTGCACCCTCAGCAAGTTTGCAGATGACACTAAACTGGGAGGAGAGGTAGATACGCTGGAGGGTAGGAATAGGATACAGAGTGTCAAAGTTTGACTCAGACTCACAATTTATCAGACCACTCTGTTTTATTAGCAAAGCTGCTCTGCTAATACATTTAGAAGTGAGCCCCCCCGAGTGGGGCTTGTGTCTTTTAATTTATACAGTTTTTTGGAGAACAAGTTACAGAGAAGTTACAGACAAAAGAAGAAAAAGATTTTAGTCACCACCCTTCGAGATCCCTGAGATCAGTCACGTATCTTCAATTACCTGCCACCCTTAACAATCTCCTTTAACAGCTTCCAGTTAACTGAACTAATTGCCCTTCACACCGTCCATTCTGATGCCTGCTTCTTAGACGTGCTGGCTCTATCCTAATTGCTTCTCCATTCAAAAGCTAACTGTCCCTAGTGTGCTCCCTCAGATACTTTGTAACATGTTTTGGCATGCCCTCTCATATACAATGTATCCAGCATGTCCCCTTATACAACGTTATACTTATACAATGTTATACTTCCACAAGAAGGACCTAGAGAAATTAGAGGGTTGGGCCAAAAGAAATCTGATGAGGTTCAACAAGGACAAGTGCAGAGTCCTGCACTTAGGACGGAAGAATCCCATGCACCGGTACAGACTAGGGACCGAATGGCTCGGCAGCAGTTCTGCAGAAAAGGACCTAGGGGTCACAGTGGACAAGAAGCTGGATATGAGTCAACAATGTGCCCTTGTCGCCAAGAAGGCCAAAGGCATTTTGGGATGTATAAGGAGGGGCATTGCCAGCAGATCGAGGGACGTGATCGTTCCCCTCTATTCAACATTGGTGAGGCCTCATCTGGAGTACTGTGTCTGGTTTTGGGCCCCACACTACAAGAAGGATGTGGAAAAACTGGAAAACATCCTGCGGAGGGCAACGAAAATGATTAGGGGACTGGAACACATGACTTCTGAGGAGAGGCTGAGGCAACTGGGATTGTTTAGTCTGCGGAAGAGATGAATGAGGGGGGATTTGATAGCTGGTTTCAACTACCTGAAAGGGAGTTCGGAAGAGGATGGATCTAGACTGTTCTCAGTGGTAGCAGATGACAGAACGAGGAGTAATGGTCTCAAGTTGCAGTGGGGGAGGTTTAGGTTGGATATTAGGAAAAACTTTTTCACTAGGAGACATTGGAAGACTAGGTGAAACATTGGAATGCGTTACCTAGGGAGGTGGTGGAATCTCTTTCCTTAAAAGTTTTTAAGGTCAGGCTTGACAAAGCCCTGGCTGGGATGATTTAGTTGGGGATTGGTCCTGCTTTGAGCAGGGGGTTGGACTAGATGACCTCCTGAGGTCCCTTGCAACCCTGATATTCTATGATTGTATGAAAGCTCAGTATTATGATCTCCATTTTACCTATGGGGAAACTGAGGCACACAACAATTAAAGTGACTTGCACAAGGTCACCAGTACCTGCTATATAGGCAGGAATAGAACCCACCTCTCCTGAGTCCCACTTGAACGCACTATCCACTCGTCCTCACTGCCTCTCACAGACCAGGCTCTAACCATTGACTTTAACATTCCAGTCATGCCAAGCTTCCCATCGGGTTGCAGTAACCTCAGCTAGGCCACATACAGGAGCAGCTCCAATTCCCCTGGCCCCTAGCAGTGGTGTCCAGGCTATGAAAGAATTTCTTCTCATCTCCCCCGCAGTGTCTTAATTTTGCTCTTGACGTCCTGATTGTGTGCGAAACGCTGCACCTTTGTGTCCCCTTTTCACCCTCCCCTTTGGGGGTTACTTTACGGCCCAGGTTCTGATTTGCATACTTAGAATCACAGAATCATAGAATCATAGAATATCAGGGTTGGAAGGGACCTCAGGAGGTCATCTAGTCCAACCCCCTGCTCAAAAGCAGGACCAATCCCCAATTAAATCATCCCAGCCAGGGCTTTGTCAAGCCTGACCTTAAAAACTTCTAAGAAAGGAGATTCCACCACCTCCCTAGGCAACGCATTCCAGTATTTCACCACCCTCTTAGTGAAAAAGTTTTTCCTAATATCCAACCTAAACCTCCCCCACTGCAACTTGAGACCATTACTCCTTGTCCTGTCCTCTTCCACCACTGAGAATAGTCTAGAACCATCCTCTCTGGAACCACCTCTCAGGTAGTTGAAAGCAGCTATCAAATCCCCCCTCATTCTTCTCTTCCGCAGACTAAACAATCCCAGTTCCCTCAGCCTCTCCTCATAAGTCATGTGTTCCAGACCCCTAATCATTTTTGTTGCCCTTCGCTGGACTCTCTCCAATTTATCCACATCCTTCTTGTAGTGTGGGGCCCAAAACTGGACACAGTACTCCAGATGAGGCCTCACCAATGTCGAATAGAGGGGAACGATCACGTCCCTCGATCTGCTCGCTATGCCCCTACTTATACATCCCAAAATGCCATTGGCCTTCTTGGCAACAAGGGCACACTGCTGACTCATATCCAGCTTCTCGTCCACTGTCACCCCTAGGTCCTTTTCTGCAGAACTGCTGCCGAGCCATTCGGTCCCTAGTCTGTAGCGGTGCATTGGGTTCTTTCGTCCTAAGTGCAGGACCCTGCACTTATCCTTATTGAACCTCATCAGATTTCTTATGGCCCAATCCTCCAATTTGTCTAGGTCCCTCTGTATCCTATCCCTGCCCTCCAGCGTATCTACCACTCCTCCCAGTTTAGTATCACCCGCAAATTTGCTGAGAGTGCAATCCACACCATCCTCCAGATCATTTATGAAGATATTGAACAAAACCGGCCCCAGGACCGACCCCTAGGGCACTCCACTTGACACCGGCTGCCAACTAGACATGGAGCCATTGATCACTACCCGTTGAGCCCGACAATCTAGCCAACTTTCTACCCACCTTATAGTGCATCCATCCAGCCCATACTTCTTTAACCTGCTGACAAGAATACTGTGGGAGACCGTGTCAAAAGCTTTGCTAAAGTCAAGAAACAATACATCCACTGCTTTCCCTTCATCCACAGAACCAGTAATCTCATCATAGAAGGCGATTAGATTAGTCAGGCATGTAAGTGCTTCAGGATTGATTCTTTGACATTGATAGGCACAGATGCCAGCCATTGAGCAGCTGTGCACCAATGGGCCAGGCTGGGTGCCTGCAGCTCAGGGCCTGAGCCCTCTGTCCCCAGCCCCCACCCAGGACCCAGGCGGGAGACGCAGGGAAGGACAGGCTTGTGCCACGTGAGTGCCTCCAGGCATGGACGATGCTGGGCTCCATTAGTCAGGCCTGGGCAGGATGGGGCCTCTGGGATGGGACAATCTGGCCTGGGGAGGTCTGGGGGCGTGGCGGCGGACCATAGAGAGGGGCTAGAGCGGCTCGGCCAGAGCGGAAGCGAGGAGCGGGAGGGCCGGAAGCCCGCGCCGTGGGGAGGAGCCGGAGCCGGGCCGGAGCCGGGGAGCTGAGGTGGGGGATCTGGCCGGGGCAGTGTGAAGCTTGCCGGGGCCTGGCTCGTGGACGGGGGGAGCCTGAGACGGGGGGGTCCTTATTGGCGGGCTGGGGCCAGCAAATGGCTGAAGCGGGGCTGCCGGGGGCCCAGAGGGGGCGGGCGCGCTGCCCTCCCCTCCCCTCCCCTCTGGCAGGCGCCTGCCCGGCCTCGCCCTCTGGCCGGCACGGAGCTGCCGCGCACGCCGGCCCCGTGTGTGTCAAGCCGCTGGCAGAGCCAGGAGCTGGCTGAGCGCAGCAGGGATCGGTTATTGAACAGCCCAGCTGCTGAATTATCGCGAGGGCAGGCTGGAAATGGGAGAGACTGTGTCCGCTTCAAGGGGCCCCAGTAGGATGGGAGCTCAGCATCTAGTCGCCCTAGACCACTTCTCTGTAGTGGCGGATGCTAAGACCTATAGCCACTTGTACCAGCGTTGGGGCTAGTGGGAGCCATGCTGTAGGCTGGGTTCTGGTAGCTTGGGGCATTTACATCGCTATCTTAATTAAGCCTGCTGAGCTGATGGAAACGTCTTTATACAGTTCCCTAGTGGAGAGGTGGTTTCTGGGGCTCCTTGCATCTTGCACCAAGGCCATGCTGTCTGCATCTGGGGTCATTATCTTATCAAGTCCCTCTTTCTACCTGTAGCCCAGTACCCATGACCGGTGCTCTCCTGTCCACATGCACAGGAGACGATGCGGTTTTGCTAAGAACTACCACAGTTCCAAGCTTCTGAGGGGTTGTTACGAACTGTGAGTCAAAGGTATATATGCTGTTTAACCTGTTGTTCCAGATTACAAAAAGTTCTCAATTGGCTACAGCCTTTTACGGTCCATATTATTGTCTTTGAAATCCAGCTGTAGTCCATCAAGATGAAAGAGCAAAGAGGGAATATTGTCAAGTGGCTATAGCAGGAGAATAGTTTTACTTCTCATTTATTGTATGGCATTAGCCAATTCACTGGTTTGTGCCTCAGCTTCCCCAGCTGTAAAATGGATACCATTATAATAATACCTGTCTCACAGGAGTGGGGTGAGAATTAATGAATGTTTGTAAAGGTCTTTGGGATCCCTAGATGAAAGGTGCTATAGGCATGCACACTGTTATTAAAGGATAGTGTGGTGTTAATGCAGATAATTGAAAAAGTCTCAGGGCTCAATCCTTCTCTCAGTGAATCCAGTGGGAGCAGGATCAGGCCCTAAATGTGGAGCAGCAGCAGCAAATTCTGGCTACATGTGCGTACCCCATTGAAGTCTCAGTCCCCCATGGGCCATCAGCAGTGTTTGAACCTGGAACCTTCAGCACCAAAGCTTAGATGCCTACCTCCTAAGTTAAAGGACAAGGTCCATTAATTGTCAGCAGTAGCAGGCTGTGCCTCTTGTGTGGACCACTCCCAGAGCGAGAGATGCCGCCCACTTTGCAAATGTGTTCTATATCCCCCCCCCAGCAGGGTAAGCCTCTCATGAGTGTCTGAGCTGACCTAGAGTTCGTGTCTGTTTAGATGCCAGTTCTATAATAGCCTCTGCCTTGGGCCAATAGCTGGGGTTGAAACCCAAAATATAGACCTTTACCCTTCCCTGAGGAGGATAGATAACAAGGTTGTAAAGTGACAAGGTGGGTGAGTAATCGCTCTTATTGGACCAATTTCTGTTGGTGAGAGAGACGAGCTTTTTGAGCCACACAAAGCTGCTATTATGGTCTCTCTCTCCAACAGAAGTTGGTCCAGTAAAAGATCTTACTTCCCCCACTTTGTCTCGCTAATATCCTGAGACCAACACCCTGCATTCCCACCCCACCTGGGGTTGGCCCACGCAGAGTGTAGCTGCCTCCTACTGCCCCCAGCTAATAGATCTTGTTCTTTAGCTGACATACTAGAAGCTGTGCTTTTGTGCTGAAAGTCCCAGAGTCAAACACTGCTGACAGCCTGTGTTGGGGGTCACTGTATGAATATGTACATGAATAACTAGGCCCATATGTGAGCATTTGTAGTATTAGGGCCTCTGTTTGTTGTGACCTTTCACATGTGAACAATTTCATAGTAAATGTTAGTGTCCGTCTCGGTAGTATGGAGCCTTAAAGAGTTGCTACATTAAAAAATAAAAGTAGAAAATTCATTAAGAAGCCATTTCTGTTTGGGGACAAAAAACTAGAAGAAAATCATTAAGGATCAAGTCAAAGGGAATTTAAAAACAACAACAACACAGCACACCACCAAATGTTACGGTATGAACACCAGTGATTGGTAATGTGAATTTAGAAATCTCTCACTTTCCCTATGTGTGTGTTTGCTGCTTCCTGTAAAAAGCTGCTGTTCTTTCCTTCTATGACTCTCAATAAGTTTGATCAGACAGGAGAACCTTGCTACTCTGCATGACCCCAACGTGGGACGTTTCTACCTTCTGTAACGAACAGGCACCAACTTCCCCACTCTGTTTATTTTCAGAGCCCTTTGGTGACAGAATGACAGTATGGATGTTGGGGATAGTCCCCTTCTCCCAGACAGCATCCTCTATGAGATTTTCCTGTACCTGGACCACGTAGATGTGCTCTCGGTGGGGTTGGTGTGTCGGCAATGGCATGCGGTGGCCCGGGATGAGTTCCTGTGGAAGGAGCTGTTCTATAGATACTACAGGGTCTCTCGGGAAGTGCCACGGCACCCAGGTCTGGTATTTTTAACTATGTTTAGTAAGTTATCAATTTTGCACTGTTGAAAAGGGCTGGGTTAGCTGACTGGTAGACCACAGTCCTGTTAATTCACAAAACAGGAACAGCATTGGCAGCAGCACAAGATTTCCTCCATGCAGCCCTGCCAGTTTGCCCCCCTCTGACCTGTAGGGACCCCATCTCTGACTGATGGTATTCTATAAAGGCCCATCCCTGGAAAGCTAAGCACCGAGATGTGTGCGGGACATGCAGCTCCCAGTAGATTATTTAATCCTTGGCCTCTTAGACAGGTCAATGTGACATGGGCACTGGTCCATGTGACATGAACTCGGGATTGCAGTTCAGGGAACATCAGCCATCACATAGTGACCTAGAGGGGAAAGGGTCTATTGCCCATCAGACCCTGTTGAAAATTGTGGAATGGAATTTGCTGAAAATTCAGAGATTTCCCTCCCCTACCCCATCCATGTCTAAAATTTAAAGATTTTTTTTAAACCCGTCTGCAGACTGACCGTTTCTTACAATACCTAGACCAGGCTGCTGGGTGATTATTGTCCCTTTAAGAAGGGCATAAGCAGGTACAACAAATCTCATGTTTATGGTGGTGTTGTGTTATCCACTTTCAAATGTGGGTCTCACTTGGCCTTGCACCTGAACATCTTCAACCACTGGTTGAGGACTGGCCAAGGAAGACAACAGTGGTCCTTAACCATGGATCACCAGGTCATATTCCTAGTGTAGACAGACCCTTGTTGCTGAGAGGACTCAGGGACTGGGCATTGCCAAGATGCATACAAGTCCCACTTGGGAGGTGCAGGCTTTATCATGATTCTGCGGAACTCTGCTCCCCACCATATGACATGTACAGCAGCCATGTGCTCATCCTCCAGTTCCACTCCGGTGGACGAGAGTGGGAAATCAAGAGGATGCAGAGGCAGAGAATGCCTGACCTTCCAGCTGAGTGAGGCAGGAGAGTCATGCTGTGAAGAATGAGTGAGCAAAGACCCATTCTTGGGGGAGGGAGAAAGAAGTACAAAAATGGCTGCAAAAATCCACTTGGCTTCAACCCTGCAGCCTTTAGGATTTGTAGCTCCAGCATGGGGCTGCTGCCTGTTTTCTGAACCCTGAAGGTTTTCTCTGTCACCGTAGACCCTTGGATAACTGGCTTTTAGCTGTAACCAGCATAAGTAAATCCAAAATGAAGGTGTATTTAATATTTCCACGTTAGTTTTGTTTGACTTGTGCATGTGCTCCTCTAATTCCTGTTTACTCTGTGGCCATAGCTGGCAAACCTGTTTGTTAGCTGCTGTTATGTCATTGGACCCATTAGTGCAGTAGAGTAAGTCCAGGAATTTGGTTGGGTACTTCCCCAGCTCTGCAGGGGCTGAAAACAAAATAGCTGGAGCACTTGGTGGACTGGCCTGTACTGCTCTCCCTGTGTGACATACCTGTGACAAGAGGCCGATATTAAAGGATACTGCCAACAAAATGAGTGGCTGAACTGGAGTTTCAAAGAGGTCATCCACCCTAGGGGACTGATGGAAAGGAGCAGAGCCCCCCAGTCTGGTCGGTAGGTAGGTCTGCCTGTGTCAAGCTGCCCCTGTTGAGAAGGGACTACAATGTCAGGGTTCCAGTTCAAACCTAGGGGGAAGCATCATGTCTGTAGGCTCAGTAAATGGGATCCAGGGGCTGCTGTGACTAGGAGCATTAGTGGAATGCCAAATTAGAGCTGTGACCCATCTAGCCCACTCTTCTGTCAAGCAGGGGCCAGTGCTGGATACTACAGAGGAAGGTGGAAGACTCCCTTAATGGACGGTTGTGGAATATGCTGCCCGTGAGTTTCTTCCTAGCCCTCAGTTAGTGGCTGCTTTATACCCTGCAGCAGGAGAGTGGATATCCCTAACTTTTGAACTCCTATCTGACATAACTATGGATGTTCTCATTACCTATATAAAGATCAGCTCCTCCTCTGAATCCTTGGCCTCATCAGTCCTCAAACTGGCCTGTGGAACTCACTGCCACAAATTATGCATTTGTATAAAAAAAATCTTTCTTTTGAGTCTTAAGCTTGTGACCTTTCATTTTCACTAAATGTCCCCAGGTTCTTATTATTGTGAGAGGTCCTGAGGTATTTTTGTGCACCTCTGTCACATCTCCTCTCTAAATTAAACAGGCCCTGTTCTTCTCAGTCCCACTTCATATAGAAGCCTCTTCAGACCACAGACCATTTCTGGACTTCTCATTTTTCTATCTCATTGTTGGCAGAGGGAACAGAACGGAACTCCTCATTTCAGATGAGGGTCACCAATTAATGTATATAACTACCACAATAGTTGGACAATGGCACAGACACCTAGGGAAGTCATGGAAGCTCCTTCACTGGAGGTTTTCAAAAGGAGGCTGGACAGCCGTCTGTCTTGGATGGTTTAGACACAACAAATCCTGTGTGTTGGCAGGGGGTTAGACTAGCTCAGTGGCGCTCAGCCTTTCCAGACTACTGTGCCCCTTTCAGGAGTCTGATTTGTCTTGCGTGCCCCCAGGTTTCACCCCACTTAAAAAATACTTGCTTTCAAAATCAGACACAAAAATACAAAAGTGTCACAGCCACACTATTGCTGAAACATTGCTTCCTTTCTCATTTTTACCATATAATTATAAAATAAATCCATTGGAATATAAATATTGTACTTCCATTTCAGTGTGTATATAGAGCAGTATAAACAAGTCATTGTATGATATTTTAGTTTGTACTGACTTCGCTAGTGCTTTAGATGTAGCCCGTTGTAAAACTAGGCAAATATCTAGATGAGTTGATGTACCCCCTGGAAGACCTCTGCATAACTCCCTGGGTTAAACGTACCCTTGGTTGAGAACCACTGGACTAGATGACCCTCGTGGTCCCTTCTAATCCTGTGGTTCTATGACGATGTAATATTCTTACTAATATCTATCCCATTCCTTATGCATCCTAACATGTGGTTTGCACCTTAACCTCTGCTCAGGGCTCAACAATAGGCATTCATTGGACTCTCCATGGTGATTCCTACATCTCACAGTGTGGCTTAGAACCCACCAATGTTTCTGAGTTAAAATCCTTCAAATAGATGTTTCCTTGTATTTATTAAGATGGTCAGAGAAAATCTGATTACCAATGGCTGCGGCTGTGGCAGCCTTGTCTACACTTGGGCTCCTGCCATTGCTAACGCTAGTGAGAAATATCAAGTCCCTGTTATAGACAAGTCATGTGGCTTTATGGCTTCCACTTATGCTGAGCTTTGACTCCTCCCTCCTATCCGCATGTGTTGTAGCTGCTGTTTCCTGGTACGAGGACTTCCAGAGGCTCTATGACACCATCCCCTGTGTTGAAGTGCAGACCCTGACGGAGCACAATGACCAGGTCTTACACCTTAGCTTCTCCCACACAGGTTACCTGTTTGCATCCTGCTCCAAGGACTGCACAGTTAAGGTAAAGGGCATGCAGCTTTTGTTCTGAGGGGTTTATTCACTCATCTAAGCTGGCCACATTCAGGTTCCAGCTGTGAAAAACTTCCGTTGAGTTCTTATATGCTGACCCTCTCTGGTTAGTGCCGTCAGGCCTTCTAGTCAGGAGCTGTGGGGAGGGATTCTGGGGCTGAAACTTCTTAGTGTCCAGAAAGCAGAGGAGGCATGATGGGCAGGTCAGGAGCATCTGAGTTTGTGGGGCTTTGGGCCATCCGGACTGCTCAGTCTGGCCCTTCTCCGAGTGGCTGGTTATCACTGACTTCTGGGACTCCTTTACTAGACCTCTTTTACTTCCTTTACAGGGCTTAGTGCATGTCTTGTGTTATGTGGCTCTCCTAAGTGCATAGAAATCAAGGAGGGGAAGCAGGGGTTGTGGAGGTTATGGGCAGGTTGCACAGGGACAAGGGTTTGGCTGGGGAAGGAGTGGGAGTTGGCTTTGCAAAGCCGTCTCTGGATGCATAGACTGTAAAGCCAGAAGGGACCATCATGATCGGCTAATCTGACCCCTGCTCATCACAGGCCACTGACCCTTCCCCACCCGCTCCTGTAACAGACCCCTAATCTAATTCCCTTGCCTGAGCTCTCCCTCGCTGAGATTTCTGACCTAAGCCCCAAGCCGTGTGCTGTCACCCCAGCCTGGGCAATGATTGGGCAGGGATTAGGAGAGTAGGAAGGGGACCCAGGAAACAAGTGAGACATAGACATAGAATATCAGCGTTGGAAGGGACCTCAGGAGGTCATCTAGTCCAACCCCCTGCTCAAAAGCAGGACCAATCCCCAATTTTTGCCCTAGATCCCTAAATGGCCCCCTGAAGGATTGAACTCACAACCCTGAGTTTAGCAGGCCAATGCTCAAACCACTGAGCTATCCCTCAGTGGTGTGAACAGTTTTGTGGGTCTAGGTGTCAGGGCTCCTGACTCTGCTACTGACTCGCTGTCCCTGTGGGTGAGTCATGTCCCCTCCCTGTGCCTCATCTGGGGGGCTCTGCACATTGACTGGGTTCACTTGGCCCTAACCTGGGGAAAGCTGGCTGGGTGCAGCAGGGTCCAGCCTGACTGCTGAGGTGGCCAGTGGCGGTGTGGAGGTTGGAAGGTGGACTAAGTTAAGGCCAGGTGTCCCTAACTAGACACCAACTCCATTGCCAGGAACCAGGGAATCCTGTCAGACTGCAGTGACTTCTGCTAGCATAGGGCCTGGGCCCAGCTCCAATCCCACTCGCATTGCACGGGGGCCCACTGCAGTCAGAAATGAAGATGGTCACAGGCCCTTCCCCCAGCCGGGGGATGTGACCAGTGTTCCCTCTAATTTCTTACGCACGTGTGCGGAATGAGTTTTGTTTTGGACACCAATATGAAGGTGATGTGTGACATGACCCTGTGTGACACATCACCTTCATATTGGTGCCCATAACAAAATTCATGTGGTGGGCTTGGGGCCGAGGGGTTCAGAGTATGGGAGGGGGCTCAGGGCTGGAGCAGAGAGTTGGGGTGTATGTGGGGGGGTACAGGCTGGGCCGTGGCTGCAGTGGGAAAAGAGGACTCTTCCCAGCCCTCTCTCACCTCAGCAGCTTGGGGCCAGGGGAGAGGTGCTTCTTCCTGGCCCCAGCAGCTCCAGTGGGGCTGGCCTGAGCTGAGAGAGGGGCTCCTCTCCCTGGCAGCTCCGGCAGGCCTGGGTCGGGCCGAGGCAGGGGCTCCTCTCCTCTGGCCGCGGCAGGTCCACGCTGGGGTTGGCGGTGAGGGGCGCCTCTCCCTGCCACAGCCCTGAGCCCCTGCGCATGGCTTAATCGGGGGCCACGCAGCTTAGAGGGAACCTAGGAAATGACCCTAAAATGAACCAGGAGGCAGAACTGAGCTCTCAGAGGAACAACTGTCCTGAGTGCTGCAGAGCACCAGCCCTCTGAGGCTGAGGGAATGATAGTAACGGGGCAGTGCACTGGTTGGGGCCAAATTCATCGAAGATCTTCATAGCAATGACTGCAAACCCTCCGGTTCCCTTCTGAATGGCTTTCTGGCAGCGAGGCTGGGGTTAGCACATCTCCATCTGTTTGCTTCCGTGCCTCCTGACTGGTGCTCTGTGAATCCTGGTTAATGACACGCTCTGAGTGAAACAGCCTGCCCTGTCCCCTTTGTCCTCAGATCTGGAACAACGAGCTGGCCATTTCCCTGCTCCACAGCTCCAACATGAGGCTGTACAACTGGAGCTACACCCAGTTCTCCCAGTTCAACTCGGATGACTCCCTCCTCCTGGTGTCAGGGGTCTTTGTGGGGCCTCGCAACTCCTCGTCAGGAGAGATCGCTGTCATTAGCCTGGGTAATGCTCATTTCAGCTTGGCTCTGCCTTGGTGTGAGTGTGGAACTGGCTGGATAGCCACAGACTCAAATTGCCCTTGGAAAGCTGAAGGTGGCAGGATGGAGGGGCTGTGACTTGGCCCATGGCTAGGAAAGGGACTGGATGGGTTTTTCATGTCCCTTTTTAAAAGGGACCTTTGGCAGACTCTGATGCTGTTGAAAGTGAGGCACTGATGCCGCAGTCAGGCAGCAGGAGAGCAGGCAGTGGGCAAGCTTTCCCCCACAGCTGAGTCCTGAGGCTACCCCATCTTCCAGCTCTGCCAATAGCCTCTGAGTCACAAAACTGTTAGCTGGTCTTTTCCTGTCATATCACAGAGCTTTGCTGATGAACATCCCTCTTGGCCTGGATTGCCCTCTGCTGCTCCAGTCCTGGGACCATATTAATCTTGAGTCACAGTATCTCCTGCTATCTCTATCCTGGGATCCCTACCCAAGTGGAGGCTTCTTACAGGGATGGATTGGCTCAAAACCTGTGGGCCCTTGTAAATCGACAGTGACGCTCACTGCGCCGAGAAAGAGAGAGAGCCCCTGTATGATCTAGGGGAATATCTTGGCTGCTAGTTACCATAGCGCCACTGAAAGGCAGAGTGTGTTGGGAATCCACACTGATGATAAGCTGTAAGAGGGACCATCCATCTTTACATCCACTCTGCTTCAGGGATCAGCTGGGCCTCTGACTTGAATCCCTGTCCTGTGGGTCCTGTCTCTTGCTTCACTGGGGTCCTTTCTGTGGAGCTGTATTATCCTCCCCCTTTCTCCTTCCCTCCAGAGAACTTCACGCTCCTCTCCAGGGTGAGGAATAAACCCTATGATGTGTTTGGCTGCTGGCTGAATGAAACCAACTTGATTTCCGGCAACCTGCACCGAATTGGGCACATCACCTCCTGCTCTGTGCTGTGGCTGAACAATGCCTTCCAGGTGTGTCCCAGGGCCATGCTTCTCCAGGCTCTGGGTTGTTTAATAGCCTGGACGGTTCCCGTCAGCTGGGTGTGAGACATTGACTCTCTGACATCACTGCTGAGCCCCCTTTTTGGGGACCGATGCCTTAGAGAACCCTGGGCACTGCCAACAGGGGTGAGGAACGGAGCACTCTCCCACGATCATGCCTCCTGTAGTGGGAGTTAGGGTCGTTCTGGGAGCAAATACAGTGATAGCATGAACTTGGGAGAAGGTTAAGAGGGGTGGAGAGCTTAGGCTCAAGGTAGAGTTGGCTGAAGGCGGCCCTCCAGTACCCCGTTGCCTCCCTGGCACAGCACCCGTTGCAGTGGGCACTTCCCATGTGGCTCTGTGCTGTCTGCTTCCATGCACTCGTGTTGTTTTAATGGGGATGGAGACTGGAGTCCAGCCCAGGGTCTCATTCTGGAAGGGACCAGAGGATGAGCCATGGTGAGCAGGTGGGTTAAGAGTCATTGGATGCCTTGATGGGCCCTGTGAGAGCTGGGTGCCTAGGGCTGCTGGAGTCTGTCAGCTGTTGCCAACCTGCCATCATATCTGGGTGCTTGGCCTTATGGGACACAGGTGCTCACTGGACAGGGAATTAATATGGCCACAGATGGGCCAAAGAATCCTCCTTGCTAGAGGAAATGAGGGAAGTGAATGTCATGTGACTTTGCGGCTTCCAAGGAGGGGGATCCAAGCACTGCTCCTGCTCTGTCATGGGTTCACTGTGACCTGTGGAATTCACTTACCCATTGTGCCTCAGTTTCCTCCTTGGTGAAATAGGGAGAACAGTTCCTCCCCCTGGGGGGCAGGTGTTGGATAGGGATGTTGAGCTCAGTCTGCTTGTTGCGCTTTGAGATCCTCGTTTGACAGGCACTATCTGTTTGTACAGCTCTCCTCATTGAGCCTTACTACAGCAGGCTGTATTGGCAGGTATTGTATTTCTATTGGCAGGCTGACCCCTTGCTTCTCCATAGCAGACGGGAGTATTATTATTAGTTTGCCACTTGTGCCCCTTCCCCTCAGTTCTTTAGGCTCAAGCATGCTCTATTCCATCTGCCGCCTCTTGCATCAGTTACTACAAACTGCTCCGGAGAAGGTGGACAAACACTGCCTGGCAGCCCATTGCTGTCTTGTTGCTGGCCCCGGCAGCCCTATAGAATGAGAATAGCTCCTTCATCTTTCACTGAGTGCTATGAAACCTCAGTCTTTATTATACAAGCACCAGGGATCTGTCAGTGCTGAGCAAACGTTGAAGTGTTAACCCTCGCAGCCCCTGAGAGGTAAGGATTTAATTCCCCCATTTTACAGATGGGGGAAAATGAAGCCTGGATGTTGGGTTCCCCAAGTTCTGAGCCAGACCCTGTAAGTCCTTTTTCTACCCATTAGCCTGTACTCCCTTTTTAATGGTGTTGACAATTTGCAGGCCCAAAGAAGTGGAGCATTCATGTCATTGGCAGCCTATGTCAGTGCAGATTGCGAGATGAAGCAGTCTGCAGGATGAAGTAGCTGCAGTGAAACCCTCCCAAAGGAAGGAAATGGAGAAACAAACTCTAGGAAGCAAATTGGTAACTGTTTTTCTGCTCCTAGAATGGCCAATCATGCCGAACCAGTGGTCAGAATAGAAGCTTTGTTCCTGAACCTATGTTTGTTAGGACAGGCGGTGTCAGCTAGAGGACTAAAGCAGAGAACTCTGGGTTCTATTCCCAACTCTGCCACTGTCTGGCTGTGTGACCCTGGGTAAGTCACTTCCCATCTTACAGGTGGGGAAACTGAGGCACAGAGGGGAACTGCTATACTGGCCCATCTCCAGGGAGCTCCATTCACCACCACTTGTAAAGTGCTTTGACAGCCTCTGTTGAAAAGCCCTAAAGGGCACAGTGCTGTTTAGAGAGGGCTCCCTCTCTCGAGGGTTTGGGGCTCCTATGAAGTCTGTTGTAGAAGTGATTCTGAGCCCTTTTGTGCTCTCTGGTACTGTTTGGTCACAGCGAGAAGGCATCTGCGCACTCTCTCCCCTCTGTTAACAGGGCATAGAGTCTGAGAATGTGAATGTAGTGAAGAGACTGTTCAAAATCCAGAACTTGAATGCCAGCACTATCCGGACAGTGATGGTGGCAGACTGCAGCCGCTACGATGCCCCGGACCTGCTCCTGGACTACAAGGAGCAGCTGGCTGCTGCTACCTCTCCCTACCAGGTCTTTGACCTTGGCAGTGACAGTGAGGAAGAGGAGGTGAAGCCCAAGCAGAAAGTGATGCCAGAGCCAGTGGCGCAGGCATCACCGGGTGGTGGGAGCGGGACAGCAGAGGATGGGCTGCAGCAGTTCCTGGATGACATCCTTGAAGGCCGTGTGATGCCCGTCCTGAGTGAGAGAGAGCTGGAGACGAAGGTGGCAGAGCTGCTTGCTAGGAACCGGACTAAACCGCCTGAACTAACCCAGCTCCCCACAGAAGCCAGCAACAAGAAGAAATACTTAATCTTCACCACAGGATGCCTCACCTACTCTCCACACCAGATAGGTGAGTAGCAGAGCTCTGCCTTGCTCGGGCTCCCACTGGGCTCTGACGTTCACAACACAGTCTGAGGGACAAAGCTGGGCAATGACAGTCCACTTGCTGACTCAGTGCCTTATTGTAAGTGAACTGCTGTTTTAGTGCAGAGGCTCTGGTCACCTCCTAGCACAGTGGATTTCTGTTAGGTGCCTTCTGTAGTTAAGGTTTCAAAACCGCTTCCATTATAACCCCTTTCCAAAATGCTTCCCACCAGGCTGTGTTTTTCCAGACTTGGTCTCTGGCCAAAGGTGAAACTTTCTGGGAAGTTTATGCAAAATCCTGTCAGCTGTTTTGAGATTAAAAAAAGTTCAACTCCCTAGAACTTTTTTTTAATAAAAAATCTAGCCACCCCTTGTATTTAGTTACAGCTAGAGAAATGTAAATCTTGTCATAGCCAGGGACCTGTCTGAGGGCTCGAGCCCTTGCTGGGTTTAAGAGCTCCGAGCGTCTGCAAGCTACGTACCGAGCATGCACAGCAGATGTATTTTTATTTTTTCTTTCTGTAGTACTTAGAAAACTGCAGGTGCAACCAGTTATATGGGAGCTCTTGGCAATGCTGACACCTTATATGTTTCTGATTCTCCCAGTTTGGCTTGTTCTCATTGAGACTCAGGGCAGGTTGGAAGAGGATCAGCTCAGATCTGAGTGCTCAGACCTCCAGCATATTAGGGCTTTGCACATTCAGCCAAAGCATTCCCACAGACGGCACTCTCTAAGGTCTGGAACCCCACTTTTAAGTGGTCTAATTGTAGAAGGTTCAGTGATTTCCAGCCCCTGCGTCATTCCCTTGCAGAGACAGAGCCACAGCCATGACACTAGTGCTGGCAGCTGACTGCCAGAGTCCCAGGTGACAGCCTCTTTGGAAGGGGGCTTTCCCTCCTCTTTTCCGTCCCCCATGCTGGAGCCTTGAGTGGGAAGAGCCCTGTGGGGCTAGGGCAAATGCTAGAGCTGTGAGGAGTGTCGCCACCAGGAATGGGAGTGGGGACAACTGATCCTTCCCCCACCTACCCCCTAGCTTCTTTTCAAAAGGTCCCTAAGAAACAGAGCCCAAGGCCAGGGAGGAACCAACCACCTCTAGTACAAGCAGAAGGGGAGGGAGTGGGAAGCTGCTCTTGGTCTCCCTGCTCTGCATCTGTTGTGAAGCCACCAGGGTGAAGTGAACTTTGCATCTTCCTGGTTCCTTCCCCTGCCTGCACTCCCCAATTCAGCGTCCATCCCCTCCTGCTCTCTTGGCTCTGATCTGATTTTACCACCTGCCTGAGCCAGAAGGGAAGGCTTTCCAGGTTCTAAGTTTGTAGAAAACAGTTAAGATGAGCCACTTGTGAAATAGTCTTTGATCATATAATTGAAGCCTGACTCCTAGTGCATGATATACACAAGGGGCAGAGTTAAGGTCATGTGTCCAACCCTAGCTTTGACATTTTGTGACTTTATCTGTGCACTGTAACACTGCAATAATGTAGAACTAGCATCTCTAGGTTCCACCACCACCAGCAGGCTGTAATATTCTGCCATCTGGTCTTGTGTTGGTGTTGAGAAAAGTACAGCCCATCCTCCAACTTGGCCTGACATCACCTTTTCAGCATGGGCCCTGGTGGCTACAGGATGCTCCATCTGGATGTGAGCAGTCAGGTCCCTTGGATCAAGGCTGCATGTTGCATGCTGGGACCTGTAGTGTACATAGGCTGAAGCACCATGTGAAAAATGGAAAACAACTGCAAATTATGTGCAGCCCTTGGGCTCCTGTAAAGTTGCCAGCATAGCCTTCTGTGGGATAGTTATGGTGCCTTTGAATTAAAGGGATTTCTTAACTTGGAACTATTGCCTAAAGCAGAAAGAGTGATCTTATACCAGGGCAAACCACTGGCTTCTTCCTCTCCCAATGGCAGGCATCACAGAATGTTTGCTGAAAGGTTTGTGTGTAGAACAGGCCTCCTGCATCTGCTCTCTGCCCCAAGGACTTGGTATTTAAATTTACTCGCTGCATGCTTGGAGCACACTGCTCCGATGGGTTGGGTGCACTATTGGAAGTCCTACATGCCCTACTGGTGTGTCATTGACTCACGTGAGACCAGAGTTCAGTCCTGCTACCAAAGCTCTCGGCTTCACTCATCTGACCTGTGCTGCTCTCCGGAAGGTGCTTTGGTGGCTTCCCTTTCTTCCCATGCTGCAGGATTTCTCTGCCAGACCTAGGTTTGAATCCAAAAAATGTGCTACTTAGTCTAATATTCAAATGAAACCTGTCACAGGAGCCAGGGAAAAGGTCATCTCCTTTTCCTATTGAGGTCCAGGCAGAGTTGCGACCCAGGGCCCCTGTTATAGGCTCTCAGCTGTGTCTCATTTGGGCTGCTCGGATGGATTTCCCCAGCCACCTCCCAGACAGGACCTCAAAGCTGGAATTCAGCTGTAATGGTGCTGTGCTCATGTGGTAAAACATCCCTCAGGGAACCTATTTGGTGCCCCTTTGTGGTGTACAGAAAACAGGTGTGACCGGGGTCCTAGTGGGGGCCAGCTGTGGTCACTCAATTAGGGTGAACCGCAAAGAATGGGGCAGACAAACCCCCAAAAGCTGGTGGATATTCCAATACTTAGATTTACCAAGCCAGCATAAAACAGCTTCTTTATTACCTTACTGGTTACTCAGAAGTCCAAACAACACAGTTCCCTTAAAGTGATCCAGCCTCAAGCCTCCATCCAGGTACCCACATCAGATATGATGAAATTTATGTAAATCTTACTTCATCATATAAAAGAAAAGGTTCTACCAATCCCAAAGAATCGGACACATTATCTTCCAGGTTAATGAGTATTCCAGATCTTACCCAAATACACGCTACAGCCAAGTCTTATTAACTAAACTAAACTTTATTAAAAAACGAGAGAGAGAGTAGGGTTAAAAGACCGACAGACAGACAGGAGTTCAATTCATTGAGGTGCAGATTGACAGCAGAGATGGTGAGCTTCATAGCTGCAAAGAGTTCTTTCAGAAATAGGTCACTGGACTATAACCTATGTCCAAATATCATATTCAGGGTGTTCCCCCAGCATAACTAGGACCTCAGTCTTGTGACTCAAACTTCCCCTGATGAAGCCTAAGCAGCTCTGAGATGACAGAATCAGGACCCAAGGACCTTTTATACAATGTCATGTTTTTGACAAGTTGGAGTTCAAAAGGTTATTAGCATGACTTTGAAGGAGGTCCATCACCGGTACTTAGCTATAGAATTAACATAAGGCAGTTTGCTTGTTCCTCCACCAGTCACAGTACATTTCAAAGAGAGATGAATACCGAGATATCCCATGTTTACAATTCATTTCAATGCTAGGATGTTCTTTTGACCTCTGAATTATCGGAATACAGTATAGGCAGGGACTGTTGATTACGTTGTTGACCCTACTCATACATGTGTAAATACCCAAAAACACAAACATTCTCTCCCTACATGTCTTATGAGGGTTTTTGATTTTGCAGGATGTTTAACCCTTTCTAGCTATGTGTCACAACAGGCTTTTCATGTGACTCTGGTCCTGCCCACAAGCTGATGCATTGTGGGCACAATCACTGAGGGCTTGTAAATTGCCTTGATCGCCAGATAAAAACCACCAGGCACAGCCACATTTAAATAATAACAGTAATGCCAGCTCTCACAGTGCTTTTCATCAGCAGATCTCAAAGCACTTTACACACCTGGTTGGTACCCTCCCCGTGAGGAGTAAACGGGAAAGTGGCCCGAAAAGGCTGGCAGTTGGGGCACTTCCTCGCTTCTCTGTGCTTCTCCACACTTCAGATGCAGCTGTAGCACTTCAGTGAAGATACTACCTGTGCTGACGGCAGGGTTCTCCCATCCACCTCCCTGAGAGGTGACAGCTATGTTGACAGCGCTAGGTTGACAGGAAATTCTCCTGTGTGAACCGGTCAGTATAACTGTCGCTCAGGGATGGGGATTTTTCACGCCCCTAAGCAATGTAGTTATACCAATCTGATTTCCTAGTGTGAAGGCCTGAAGTGTGTTTTACTGAGAACTGGTAGTGGTGTTGAGAGTGATAGTCCCAGGACTGATCCAGCTTGGAGGACTCAGAGCTGTGGCTTGGGAGCTCTCTGCCAATTACTGAAGGGGTTGGTGCAAGATCCTTAGCACAGAGCTTCTCTCTCAAGAGTGAGTTTAAAAAGGTGTAAACCAAATGTCTGACTACACCCCCCCTCCCCCAACTCAGTTGTCTCTGCATACATATATTTACCTTTGCAGGATGCCTCTGAGGAATCTGTTGCAAATGACTACAGTTAAGATTCTGTCATAGGTATTTTTAGTAAAAGTCTAGGATACCTTACTTGACCTCCTTTGTACAAGATTTGGTGCCACTACATGACTTTGGTTGTAACAATGATCTATATGGTCACAGTTCATATTAATAACATCACAAAGTGTGAGCAATAAACAAAGATTCACAGAAGGCTGCATCCTGTCCCTGACTTTTACTAAAATACACTTGGGGGGGACTAACCGTCAGTCAGAGCGTTGCCAGGGGCTGAACTCCAGCAGCTGCTCCAGTCCCGCCACTGCTCCTGTGGCAAGGGCTGATGGTTGCTGCTCCGGCCCCACGGAGGTGGACCTGGCCCCACGGGGCCACAGCTCCAGCAGTCAGCCAGCCAGCAGCTCTGCCACTCCCGGGGCTAGCCGCCACTGTGGAAGAAGTCAGAGGTCCTGGAAGGTAATAGAATCCGTGACCTTCATGACAGAATCGTACTCTTACAACTCAGTTAACTTGTTCCCAGGCAGCAGGGAAGGGACCTTCTCTCAGGACTGGAGAAGGAGGATCCTGGGAACTACAGGCCAGTAAGCCTCACTTCAGTCCCCAGAAAAATCATGGAGCAGGTCCTCAAAGAATCAATCCTGAAGCACTTACATGAGAGGAAAGTGCTCAGGAACAGTCAGCATGGATTCACCAAGGGAAGGTCATGCCTGACTAATCTAATCGCCTTCTATGATGAGATTACTGGTTCTGTGGATGAAGGGAAAGCAGTGGATGTATTGTATCTTGACTTTAGCAAAGCTTTTGACACGGTCTCCCACAGTATTCTTGTCAGCAAGTTAAAGAAGTATGGGCTGGATGAATGCACTATAAGGTGGGTAGAAAGTTGGCTAGATTGTCGGGCTCAACGGGTAGTGATCAATGGCTCCATGTCTAGTTGGCAGCCGGTGTCAAGTGGAGTGCCCCAGGGGTCGGTCCTGGGGCCGGTTTTGTTCAATATCTTCATAAATGATCTGGAGGATGGTGTGGACTGCACTCTCAGCAAATTTGCGGATGATACTAAACTGGGAGGAGTGGTAGATACGCTGGAGGGCAGGGATAGGATACAGAGGGACCGAGACAAATTGGAGGATTGGGGCAAAAGAAATCTGATGAGGTTCAATAAGGATAAGTGCAGGGTCCTGCACTTAGGACGGAAGAACCCAATGCACAGCTACAGACTAGGGACCGAATGGCTAGGCAGCAATTCTGCGGAAAAGGACCTAGGGGTGACAGTGGACGAGGAGCTGGATATGAGTCAGCAGTGTGCCCTTGTTGCCAAGAAGGCCAATGGCATTTTGGGATGTATAAGTAGGGGCATAGTGAGCAGATTGAGGGACGTGATCGTCCCCCTCTATTCCACATTGGTGAGGCCTCATCTGGAGTACTGTGTCCAGTTTTGGGCCCCACACTACAAGAAGGATGTGGATAAATTGGAGAGAGTCCAGCGAAGGGCAACAAAAATGATTAGGGGTCTGGAACACATGACTTATGAGGAGAGGCTGAGGGAACTGGGATTGTTTAGTCTGCGGAAGAGAAGAATGAGGAGGGATTTGATAGCTGCTTTCAACTACCTGAGAGGTAGTTCCAGAGAGGATGGTTCTAGACTATTCTCAGTGGTGGAAGAGGACAGGACAAGGAGTAATGGTCTCAAGTTGCAGTGGGGGAGGTTTAGGTTGGATATTAGGAAAAACTTTTTCACTAGGAGGGTGGTGAAACACTGGAATGCGTTGCCTAGGGAGGTGGTGGAATCTCCTTCCTTAGAAGTTTTTAAGGTCAGGCTTGACAAAGCCCTGGCTGGGATGATTTAATTGGTGATGGGTCCTGCTTTGAGCAGGGGGTGGGACTAGATGACCTCCTGAGGTCCCTTCCAACCCTGATATTCTATGATTCTATGACTGCATCAGGAAACCACCACTGCAGTAATCGTCTGGTCCCGGTTAAACCTAGTTCCAAGGAGATTATAGCCGTTGAAAGGAAGTGTTTTGTGTTTGCTTTTGGAATTGCTCTGGCTGTAAACAGTGGGAATGAAGGGACTAAACACCCCCATCCTAGCTGCAAACCTCACTGGAAGGGCACAAATGATGCTTTGGGCTGGTGCCACAGGAATAGCCAGCAGAGGAGAGTGCCGAGGGACTGATGCCCTGTACTGTACCATGACTCTCAGTCCCCACCCGAGCCTTGTCATAAAGGAGTCAGTTCCCAGCCAGGGTCCCCCATGTGGGTTTCCTCACTCCTAGCAGCTTGTAATAAGGTTTCAGAGGGACGCTCCTTGCTCTGGAGCCTGTGGGGAGCTCCCCTCAGTCCTTTGGCTTTTGAATGTTACCTATGAGTCAGGCAGCAGCAGCGCCCTCTTGCAGAGCAGACTAATCCCCCTTTTTGCCTCCCTTTCCCCTGAAGGGATTAAGCAGATCTTGCCTCATCAGATGACGACTGCTGGACCGGTGCTTGGGGAGGAGAGACGTTCGGACGAGTTCTTTGATTCGCTGGATCATGTCATCGACATCCACGGTCACATTATTGGGATGGGCCTTTCTCCTGATCACAGGTGGGTGTGGCAGGATGCGAGGCACAGCAGAGCAGAGGGTCTGCCATGGGGATGGAGCCACTGGCCACCAGCTGATCACTTTAAGTGTAGTTAGTATGTGTGTGTGTGTGTGGGGGGGTGGTTCCAGAGCTTGGTGATTTTTTTTATTTAAGAAGAGCAAAGGGATTGTTCCTTTCCTCCATGGGCTCATTAATGCGTGTACACAGGCACAGACTAGACAGGCCCTTGGTATTTGAGATCTCTTCTCCCGACCCCTGGCACAAAGCAAAATGCATGGAACTTAATGTGTCTATTAGCAGGGTGATAAGCCAAGTTGGCTCTGCTGGGGTCTAATCCTGGGTTCTGAAAACTATCCACTACAGCACTGTGCAGAGGAATGTCTCCATGCCGGCAGGGAAGTGACCCTGCAGCCAGGCACAGCATGCATAAGCTGCTCCATGCCAGAGGCTGCTGTAATGGGGCACTGGACCCAGAGGGTGTTTCGGAGTGTAAATGGCTCTTGCATGTAATCATGGTGGTGATTCGCTCATGTGCACAGAGTTAAACTGGTCACAGGATCTGGGGTCAGGAAGGAATTCCCCTCTCAAGCAAGTCGGGGAGAGAGTTGAGAGGACTCTCCATTAGCTCAGCTGAGTGTAGCTTGCTCTTGAGTGCAGGGACCCGGGGAGCTTGGGCTTTCCTCTTGTCTTGTATGTTTCTGTTTCTCGTGTGTGTGTGTGTGTGAGAGAGAGACAGAAGTGGGGGAGGGGCGCTTGATTTAGCCCACACCGGGGAAGTGGTGGCCAGGAGTCTTGGCTGGGAGGGATAGGAATGGAATTGGGGACCAGCCAGATGCTGATTCTAGTAACTGCATGCAGGAGCTGCCTAAGGAGATGTTTTCCCCATCTGTGTGCTCTTGTTCTGGCTCTGTAGCTGGGCCAGGCCCTCTGAGTGGCTGGCTCGATAGAGGAGCTTGGTGTATAAAATGAACTCTCCTTGGAGTTTCCCAGCAGCACGTACTTAAAGGCCCCTTGTTAGGCACTTGGGGGGTTCCGACTTGCAGAACTGAGCAGGGATGGAAATGGCTTAATTGAAATCTTAAAAATAATTCATATAAACGGCTGTTTCCAAAACTCCAGCCTCCTGCTCCTCCAGAGTCTGTAACCCAAACACCACGGCTGCGAGCTTGCACTGGAGAGCCAGGCAGTGAAACCAGCCAGTGCCCTAGCACAGCCGTGCCAGAGAGGTTTTCTAGACCGGATGGTAATGCAGTTACTGGAGCAGTGACCCAGCAGTGTAACCTCTCCCCTGCTGTCCCCTAGGTACCTGTATGTGAACAGCCGGTCCTGGCCGCGGGACTGTGTGATCTCTGATCCCATGCAGCCACCCCCCATCGCAGAGGAGATTGACTTGCATGTGTTTGATCTGAAAACTATGAAGGAGGTGAAGCGAGCCCTCCGCGCGCACCGGGCCTACACCCCCAATGATGAATGCTTCTTCATCTTCCTTGATGTCAGCAGGGACTTCGTAGCCAGGTGCCCAGTGGGCCTGTCCCTCTTGGCCGCAAAGCTAGTGGGATGGGAGGGGAGAGAAACCCAGTTCCCCGGACCTCTGTGCTGTGCTCCTTGGTTTTTTGTTATAGAGCTAGGTCTGTGGCTGAGATGGGGTAGATTCTGCAGCACAAGGCCCAGCCTCGGAGGCACTCAGGCAATTCCTGCAGCAGCGCGACTTACCTGAAAAACTAGGCTTGTACCGAATGGGATGACTGCCAACCACGTGCTCAGTGCAGTGACGAGGCTAGCAGTCAGTATGTTATGCTGTCCCCGCGCTCTTGATTTGACAGTGCAGTACTGGGTGAGGGAGCTCTGGAAGGTGGTATCTGGGGAGGAGATAGTCGAGGCTTCTGGTGGTTTGGGATTGTGGAAGGAGCATGTTGATGGGTAAGTTAACTCTGAACCCTAAAGATGACACTGATGAGTACCCATTGAACTGAGCAGCACAACTCACACCAGCACTACTGCAAACTCAGACAAACACCCTTGCATCGATTCCCCTTGGCTCCTTCTTGGAAAGGTTTTCCTCACAGCTGTGAGGGCTGGACACAAGCTGGGTCAGTATTTTGGGTGTAACCCCAAACCTTAGGGCAGAGGCACCTGTTTCCTCCATATATTTTTGTGAGGCTTTTGGGGAAGGCGGGTTAGGGCCCCTTTCCCTCTGGCCGAGCTGGGTTCTTACTGGTGTCTTCTGTTCAATGCAGTGGGGCAGAGGATCATCATGGCTACGTTTGGGACCGGCACTATAATATCTGCCTGGCCAAGCTGCAGCATGACGACGTGGTCAACTCGGTGGTATTCAGCCCCATTGAGCAGGAACTGCTCCTGACAGCCAGTGATGACACCACCATCAAAGTGTGGCGCTCCCCCCGCACAGTGCGCATCCACCAAGCCAGGAAACCTAAGCCCCGGAAGCTGCTCTTCTCCTGGCTCATGAACCAGAAGAGCTGAGTCAGGCACCTGCTCATGCTGCTGCCTCACTCCAGCCACACCCTTTATTGTGCTTTGGACAGTGGGAGCGTAGATGGAGAGTAGCTGTGTGCAAAAGGTCCTGGAAGGATCCTACCCCAAGAGAGAACCTCGCGCTCCCGCCAATGGCTCGCATCTGACAAAACTGTTACAAACTGCAGCCTGTGAGCTGGGTCCGATCTGGGCCTTAGCGGGTCACTGCAGGGCAAATTCCCCGTCCACATCTCACCAGTGCTGCTAGGCGGTCACGCTACTTGCAGCCAAGCTTTGGTCACTGATCAGCACAGACTCTGGTGGCTTATTTTTCTTCGAGAGCTTGGGATCTAGCCTCACTGAGAGCTGTTGGCTCCAAAGCAGTTGGCCAAAGGGAAATGTCGCAGCACTGCTCTTGTCACAACTGGACTGTTTTAGTAGCTGTTTTATTGATGTCTGTTTGCAGGAGGCGCTGACAGTGTTACTGGTTAGCTAGGTCCTGAATACAAACTGGGAAGCAAAGAGACTTTCAAAAACGGCGCTCGCTCTAGAAGGGCACAGCATTATGGCACGTGCATTGGCTTGCCAGCACTAAGATTCTGCTGACGGCAGCTAGCAACTTTCTGCCCCACATCTCCACCTCGGGCCTACCAGAGCCCAAGGCAAGCCTCGGTTGCTGCTTTCCAGTAGCTGTGAGCCTATGCATCTCCACCACTGGCTTCCACACAAGGGTACGTGGAGAGCTGGTGAGTCACATGGGACAGATCTTGATGAGCTGCTAAATAACATTAAGATGCTACAGTTGCGTTGCCTAATGTGGTGTTTTCCAGGCAATCCACTGCATTGGTGATCACAAAGCTGAGTTTCCCCCTTCAGTGAGGGCAGCTTAAGGGCTAGAGTTGGCCATGAGTGTAGCTCATGCTGTGACAGTTGGAAACTCTTGGTATTTGGTCTGCAGGACATAGCAGGTGCCTATGCCATCCCAGCTGACACTGAGTTGCTCACTAACTGCTACCTGGCTGAGACCTGTCCAAGTGCTCTTTCACTGGGGGAGACTTCTCCCTGCTATGGTACTGGCCTCCCCAAGCACCTTTAAGTTCTCATCTAACAAATCATCTAATGAAACAATGAGTCAGTCTTTGCTGTGCTTGGTCATGCTGCACTCCTGGTCTCACCCAAGTCCCCTAGAGCTGGGTGTGATGAGGCAGCCTGGGGAAGCCAAGACTGATGGGGGCTTCTAAAGCCAGCAGTGGGAAATGAGGGGAAAATATCTCACTTCCAGTAGCTGGACCTGGTCAAAGCTGATCCCTCTTTAAGAACTAGTTTGTCTTTGAAAACAGCCCTAGGATTTTGACTGGGTGTCTGATCTAGGATCCAAATTCACAGGCCAGGATTTCTGAGGTGCTGGTAACCGCAGCTCCCAGTACCTTCAAGCTGCATGTCTCAGCAGCTTTGGACATAGCAGGCTGGAATTTGGAGGCCTCTGAACTGGGAAGCAGTGGCTGTGGCCTGCACAGCAGGGACGGCTGGGGAGGAAGAGAAAGTTGCGTACTTGTTCGTTGTCTGTACGCTCTGCTTTCGGTCAGTCCTCTGTGCTGCAGCCTCTGTGCTGTGTGGACACGGAGGGTTTGAATTCCTCTTATGCGGGCTGGCAAGATTAATAGTGTTGCTACCCTCCCCCAGCAGCAGGCTCCAGGGGCTCTACCCCCATCTCCCCAACTGCAATTCACATACCAGGTCTGTCTTGTCACTAGCAGCAACAACTGCCCCAGAGAGCAGGGAGTTTGTGTCTGCAAATGGTTTGGAAAACATGGATACTTCCCTTGGAGCTGTTTGACCATTCACTCCCTCAGTGTGGGGATTTTTTAAATAGCTGGGAGATTGTGTGAACCCTTCTGCTTGCTGCGTTGGGCTTAGTGCTGGCTCCACACTGCCTGGGCACGGCAAGGTGGTCTGTTTGTTCAGACATTCTGCTCCTTGCTGCAGAGTGGCTTTCTACTACACAGGATCCAAGCTCGAATCGTCAGACGGCCTCATCTTTAGATGAGGTACAAGCCCATGTTTGTAACTGCCCAAAACAACCCCCTCTAGCCAAGAACTCTAGTACAGAGGCAATACGCTAGGTGGACCTGTCCTTAGGATCCAGCAAGGACTTGAGCATTGCACTGCTGACTGGGGCAGTGCCTGGAATAAGCAGAGACCCTCCTGACCCCCCACTGTGAGTCACAAAGTGTGGGTGAGTGGCCTAGGCGCCATCTGCCCATTCAGCGTAGAGAGAGGCCCACCTTAGACCAGCACAGTAGGCAGGGAGCTGAACCGGGGTCTCCTATATCCCAGCTGTGTCCTAACCAGGGCCTGAACGGTTAAAGTGGGCCATGATTGCTGCTGCTGTTCACGTAGCCAAGCCCCTCAGCATGCCATTTACCCTGGGCTGTGGGGCTTAGGTGGTAGCTAGGCATCTGGCTGCCTAGAGAAAGCCAACAGGGCCCAGGCCCCAACCGAGCAACTTTAAGCACTGAGTGAGTTTAAGCTTCTACAGCTTTTTGTGGGAGTTTCATAGATGGCTGTGGAGCCTAAATGGGGATTTAGGTACCATGGGTGGAGCTTGGTGTCAGTGGCCAATGTTAGGCTGGGGGGTGATGTGTGGAGGGCTGGAGAAATGAGCATGGTTGTGGGAGCTGAAAGTAGTATGCTGAGGCGCTGGGAGTCTGAGCTGTGTTCTTGCCACAGCCTCATGATGGTGATGGCTGCCTGTTTTCCCTTCCCTGAAATGGGGCAATACATGTATTTCACATAGGCCATGAGTGTCTGCTGGGGCAGTGCCAATGAGCCATGACTCACAGGGGCAGGTTTTTTCCTTTGAACAAAAGTTTACAGACTGGTGGGGCTTTAGTCAGGTAAGCCCCTTTCTTCCCAGTCCCACATGCACATGTTGCAAAGTAAACTTGCCAGGGTAGGGCCTGCATCTGAACAGCTCTCAGCACCTCCAGGACCCAGTATATGCTACCACAGTAAGGGGGTGGGGGGAAGGGTTATTTGTCCTGTTCTTTAGCAAAGTAAAGGGAAGGGAAGGAGGCCGTGGCACACAAAGGGTCCCGCTTTCAAAGCCTCCAGCCCATCAGTTTCACAGGAACAGTTTCTAGTTCCCATTCTTGATGGTGCTGCATGTTGTCCCATTACTGTCCAACCTTCCCTTATGATACAATACTTTATTAATGGTCTCACTCATACAACAGCACAGAGGACACTTCATTTCACATTTAGAGCCTGTGCTGTTTGGACACATCCATGAAAGGTTCGAGCCTAGTGCTGGTTCTAGAGAAGGTGTTGCAAGGCTGCTAATGGAGGAAATATTGTTATGGCTAAGCTAGCACACAGCAATCACCAAGCAGCTCAGGCCCCTGGAAGATTCATCAGCTACATCAAACTAAAGACATTTCCACAAGTGCCAAACACCCACACTGAGTTCTGAACACAGTCATGCCTCAAAGGAGACACTCTGCAAAAGTAAAACCCCATCTGGGGGTGAGGAAATGCTATGATAATGAAGCCACTTCTGTATATGGCTGTGTAAAAAATGGAAGTGTGGGGCAACCTTAAAGCCAGGCCTCATTCCTGCTAGCTGTTTACACTGCTGCTGGCCGTTGGAAAGCAGTGTGCCCATCCTTGGGTGCGCTGCAAAGAGCTGTGTTAGCATCTCCAGGTGGAGAGCTCCCGCTCTGTCTACATAGTGCTAGTGCAGCTAAACAGGAGGACCAAAACTTTTACAGCCCCTCTCACCAAACTTGTTCCTTCATCATAAGGCCACCTCCTCTTACCCTCAGCCACTCACGGGCTGCCTGCAGGTGGCCTGGTTTCAGAGCTGCAAGAGCTCGGCCCCTGAGCTCCTCACGCAGGAGCCTGGCCTACTGCACTTCTGTTTGATTAACTGTGGGTGTGATTTGTTTGCTTTTGACTTTTGCTCCTGAGCAACCCTACCACAACAAGCCCTCAGCACTGATTTCTCTCCTCCGTGACTGGTGTACTAGCCTAAGGTTTCTTTCCCTCACAGGCTTGTGGGTAAAGAGGCTTGAATTTTACAAGAATCCTCCCCTGCATGGCTTAGCAAAAGACTCCTGGATTAAGTTTAGAAGCATGAGCAACAAGGGTGATGTCGTGGTGGGAGTCTGCTATAGACCACCGGACCAGGGGGATGAGGTGGATGAGGCTTTCTTCCAGCAACTCACGCAAGTTAGTAGATCGCATGCCCTGGTTCTCATGGGAGACTTCAGTCACCCTGATATCTGCTGGGAGAGCAATACAGCCATGCACAGACAATCCAGGAAGTTTTTGGAAAATGTAGGGGACAATTTCCTGGTGCAAGTGCTGGAGGAACCAACTAGGGCAGAGCTCTTCTTGACCTGCTGCTCACAATCCGGGAAGAATTAGGAGGGGAAGCAAAAGTGGATGGGAACCTGGGAGGCAGTGACCATGAGATGGTCGAGTTCAGGATCCTGACACAGGGAAGAAAGGAGAGCAGCAGAATACGGACCCTGGACTTCAGAAAAGCAGACACTGACTCCCTCAGAGAACTGATGGGCAGGATCCCCTGGGAGAATAACATGAGGGAGAAAGGAGTCCAGGAGTGCTGGCTGTATTTTAAAGAATCCCTATTGAGGTTACAGGGACAAACCATCCCAATGTGTAGAAAGAATAGTAAATATGGCAGGCGACCAGCTTGGCTTAACAGTGAAATCCTTGCTGATCTTAAACACACAAAAAAAAGAAGCTTACAAGAAGTGGAAGATTGGACAAATGACCAGGGAAGAGTATAAAAATAATGCTCGGGGATGCAGGAGTGAAATCAGGAAGGCCAAATCACACCTGGAGTTGCAGCTAGCAAGAGATGTTAAGAGTAACAAGAAGGGTTTCTTCAGGTATGTTAACAAGAAGAAAGTCAAGGAAAGTGTGGGCCCCTTACTGAATGAGGGAGGCAACCTAGTGACAGAGGATGTGGAAAAAGCTAATGTACTCGGTGCTTTTTTTGCCTCTGTCTTCACAAACAAGGTCAGTTCCCAGACTCCTGCACTGGGCAGAACAGCATGGGGAGAAGGTGACCAGCCCTCTGTGGAGAAAGAAGTGGTTCGGGACTATTTAGAAAAGCTGGACGAGCACAAGTCCATGGGCCCAGATGCGCTGCATCGGAGAGTGCTAAAGGAGTTGGCGGATGTGATTGCAGAGTCATTGGCCATTATCTTTGAAAACTCATGGCAATCGGGGGAAGTCCCGGACGACTGGAAAAAGGCTATTGTAGTGCCCATCTTTAAAAAAGGGAAGGAGGAGGATCCTGGGAATTACAGGCCAGTCAGCCTCACCTCAGTCCCTGGAAAAATCATGGAGCGGGTCCTCAAGGAATCAATTCTGAAGCACTTAGAGGAGAGGAAAGTGATCAGGAACAGTCAGCATGGATTCACCAAGGGAAAGTCATGCCCGACTAATCTAATTGCCTTCTATGATGAGATAACTGGCTCTGCAGATGAGGGGAAAGCGGTGGATGTGTTGTTCCTTGACTTTAGCAAAGCTTTTGACGTGGTCTCCCACAGTATTCTTGCCAGCAAGTTCAAGAAGCATGGGCTGGATGAACAGACTACACGGTGGATAGAAAGTTGGCTAGATTGTTGGGCTCAACAGGTAGTGATCAATGGCTCCATGTCTAGTTGGCAGCCGGTATCAAGTGGAGCGACCCAAGGGTCAGTCCTAGGGCCGGTTTTGTTCAATATCCTCATTAATGATCTGGAGGATGGTGTGGATTGCACCCTCAGCAAGTTTGCAGATGACACGAAACAGGAGAGGTAGATATGCTGGAGGGTAGGGATAGGATACAGAGGGCCCTAGACAAATTAGAGGATTGGGGCAAAAAAAATCTGAGGAGGTTCAACAAGGACAAGTGCAGAGTCCTGCACTTAGGATGGAAGAATCCCATGCACCACTACAGAGTAGGGACCGAATGGCTCGGCAGCAGTTCTGCAGAAAAGGACCTAGGGGTGACAGTGGACGAGGAGCTGGATATGAGTCAGCAGTGTGCCCTTGTTGCCAAGAAGGCCAATGGCATTTTGGGATGTATAAGTAGGGGCATAGTGAGCAGATTGAGGGACGTGATCGTCCCCCTCTATTCCACATTGGTGAGGCCTCATCTGGAGTACTGTGTCCAGTTTTGGGCCCCACACTACAAGAAGGATGTGGATAAATTGGAGAGAGTCCAGCGAAGGGCAACAAAAATGATTAGGGGTCTGGAACACATGACTTATGAGGAGAGGCTGAGGGAACTGGGATTGTTTAGTCTGCGGAAGAGAAGAATGAGGAGGGATTTGATAGCTGCTTTCAACTACCTGAGAGGTAGTTCCAGAGAGGATGGTTCTAGACTATTCTCAGTGGTGGAAGAGGACAGGACAAGGAGTAATGGTCTCAAGTTGCAGTGGGGGAGGTTTAGGTTGGATATTAGGAAAAACTTTTTCACTAGGAGGGTGGTGAAACACTGGAATGCATTACCTAGGGAGGTGGTGGAATCTGCTTCCTTAGAAGTTTTTAAGGTGAGGCTTGACAAATCCCTGGCTGGGATGATTTAGTTGGGGATTGGTCCTGCTTTGAGCAGGGGGTTGGACTAGATGACCTCCCGAGGTCCCTTCCAACCCTGATATTCTATGACGATATGGTGATATGGTGCTGGCCAGGCAGATTTGCTAGTGTCTTTCAAGGCAGTTGTGTGAAACGGACAGCTGGAGCTGTGATATAGCTATCCCATTACTGACTGGACTCAGAGGGGAGGTTGTATGAGGCTAGGATCACAGACCATCACTGGTCTGTTTCCCAGCTAAGAAGCAGGTATCCACAGCTGGCTCAGTGAAATACACATACAGCACATTTCAAGCTGGTAATTCTCAGTGCATCCATGCACAAAACAGCACCACGGCAGGAGCTTCAGTACAAGTCTCAGCTACCTTCCGCCTGCCTCGTCCATGCGTACTTTACATCCTCTGAACAGCAGCACTGGGGAAGGAACAGCCATGCCTCCATTGGCTTTCCAGCCCCCACCTTTTCACAAAGTGGGTGCTGCATGGCACAGGTGGCATTTAGCCTCTCAAGCACTCTGGCATTTTGTGGACACAGACCTTGCTGCAGCTGAATGCATCATAGCCACCAGCAGGGGGAAGCCAATCAATTCCACCGACAGTAATTGAAGGGAGGCAGTAAGCTGAAATAATTGGGGGGGGGAGGGTAGGCGGTCCTGCATGGAAAAGCCATCAACCTTAGCACAGCTGGTAAGCAATGGGGTGGGACTCTCAGCCCTCTAGAGAACAACATGAAAAGCAGGAAATCTTTCAAGTGACTTCCTCAGAAACTAGGACCCCTTCTCTCCCCCTCCACTCTGCTGTGCTTAAACGGGCAGCAGCCCAACTGTGCCCTCAGCTGGAACAGGCTTGCTCATGCAATAGGACCCTCTTCCAGGAGATGGATATAACAGGTGGTTCCTTCTGTGCCAGAGCTGGGCTCCTCTGGTCAATATTACAGCCTGGATGGAACCAGGGGGTCTTCTCCAGCATGGGAGCACTGGGGCTCTAGCAGGAAGCCAGAGCAGGCTTTGGGGTGAATTTATACTAGGAGGGAAGGTGCAGCAGTGACAGCGCAAGCATCCCCCAACACCTCGTGTGTCACACAGGGATCAACGGGGCCACTAACAGCATCCAGGCCTGTGCAGCAGGGCGCAATCGCTTGCTGGAGCCACCACACTTTGCACAAAATGTGGTCTAACAAGCACAGCAGCAGCCATTTGCTGCACAGCAGGCCACTACTGCCACAGCACAGAACAGCAGGGGAGTCTGGATGCTGCTCTCTTTGGAGTCCTCTCCCCTCACTGTTTAGGATAGCAGCTCCTGGGGCAGGGGCCCAGCACGTGTCTGTGAAGTCCCCAGCACGATGTGGAACAGGGCTGTTTCTGCAGCGCCAGTCCCAGCCATCCTAGGGAGGCTTTGAACCTTGGCGAAAAACTCATCCCAACACCTCTCCACAGGGAGGGAGAGCCAGACAGCTCCAGCACAGCACCTTGGTCTCTCCTGCCACAAGCACTATATAGAGCTGGCTTTGGGTTCCACCCCAGCCACCAGACTGAATCTTGGACAGAACCCACAGCAGATGCCAATATACCGTATGTGCCAGAGACGCCTTTCAAACCTCAGGGTCCCTGCTAGGGCTTTAGGCCAGAAATCTCCACTTGTCCCCTTACTGCCTGACCGCTCAACCCCCCAAAGGCAGCTGTACTCTAAATCCCCAGAGCTTGCTGTGGAGGGACAAGCCCAGCAGTGACACTGATGTTTCTCAAAAAGCAGGCCCCGGCCACTGAAGACAAAGCTAATACTTCCCAAAGCAGGGGAGAGCTCACCTCCCACTGCCTTCTGCTGCAGCAGTTTAACTCTGCCATGGCCTTGTCAGTGGACCCTCCCAGGGCTGGAGGACAGTAGTACAGAGTGTCAGGCTGGCCCCTGCAAACAGCCAATCAGCTGCTCAGTCTACAGGAATGTATGGTCTCCAGCCTCCTCAGGTAGGGAAAGCACTCTTAGCAAGTGCCCAAAGGCTCAGAAGAGTCACTGCAAGGGGGATTTGGAGAGTGCACGTAACAGAAAACAGACTCCTGGCATAAAGGGGAACAGGCTGGAGAAACTGCTAGTTCCTGAGAGGTTGGGCCCCATCTGGGCACAGTGTTCTGAAACTGAACAGCCCCCAGGCCTGTTGCCACTGGGCATGCAGCAGCACTGCCTCAGGGCAGGGAACAGTGGCTGGAGTCAATGCAGGGCTGGGAGAGCAGAGAGACCCAGACAGCTTGCTGTGGAGTACTGTACGGACTGGAAGCCTGGGGCGGTGCAGGAACTCAGACCCCAGCCTGCTCCAGTGACCCTCCAGTATCTAGAAGTTGGTCTTTAAACTGAGCTGATTTAATTCCCTTTGACTCCCATGGAGCGGCTGTTTTACATCTGTTTATTGGCAGCTGGAGATCATGGAATTGGCACCTCTTTGGATGGGGAGTTCTGCATACAGATAATCCGTTCCCTGCCCCCATCCTAGAGAACCAGCCACTGCTCCTGGCCCAGAAATGAGAGATGTGTAAATAACGGCTCAATAATAGTGGCCTCTCAGTTGGGGAGCAGTGCAGTGCTGGAGACCCCTGCTGGCTTACTTCTCTGTGGGCACGAGCCAATATGCACCCCTTTAGTCCTGGCAGAAGCTTCCCGTCACCCTAGCCTGGAATCAAAACTCATCTCCACTGACTGATTTCTGACCTCAGCTGAGGTGTCAGGAAGGGCTGGGAGGAGTATGGGGCCAAGTGGACCGAAGCAGGCAGCTGCCTACGCTTGAGTGGTGGCCTACAGTGAGACAGCCTGTCACTGGTCCGAGCTAGGACAGCGTGAAGGCAGAAGTGTCTCAGCTCTGTAGACCAAGTGGGGAACACACAATTTCTCTCTTTAGAGGACACATCAGCGGGGCTATGGCCTTCCTCCACGGAGAGGGCCACAATCTCACAACCCTGGATTCCCTTGCATTTGCTAACTGGTGATCGTTCCACAGAGAATTCCTACCCCTGCACACAGGCAGCGGATCATTGATGCTAACTGGAAGTTGGGCTGTTGCTCTCTGGGGGCTCCAGCCAACCACCGGGAGCACCTCTGACATGGGCAGCAGGGCCAGCCTCTTTGCCTGTCCTCCAGGCCAGAAGAGCAGGGGAAGGGTTGGACAGGGCTGGGACAACACCTGAAGGATGGTTCAAAAAGCAGCTAGCTGGGTGCTTTGGCCAAAGAGAACCTGAAGGTTTGTATTGGTGGGAGAAAACAGGACCCATGGGGAGAGGAGACAGAAAACCACAAATAAGGCTGTAAAGTGACTAATGGCCACTCTGGAGTTACAGGTGACCACCACAGAGTAACTCTGAGGGGCCAATTAGCCACAATGGCAACACACTGAGGGGGACCCATTCTCCACGAAATAGAAAAACAACTGGGGCCACAGTGCAAGGAACTCAGGGAGGGAAGAGTACACAGGGAAAGCCCTAAGACAGTTTCTAACCAAGCAGTTGCAGACTGGCTGGCTGGAGAGAGCACACTGAGCTGGCCAGGCTGCTCTGGAGAGCGTGACCGCGAAGGAAGCCACCAGTCAGTGCTACTGAAAAGCTACGCACAGCAATCAGGGCTGCAGTGGCTGTTAGTCCCCCAGCCTTGTAAACAACTAACCCCCCTTGACAGAGTGAAGAGCCCAAGAGTTCACATTCAAGATCTCCTGCCGCCTGGGGGAGGACACTCGGTGGGGGACCAACGACTCCAGGAGAGGGAACACCAGAAGGGGCCTGCCTGCAAAGGCAAATGGAGAGATGCGCTAAGAGCCAGGATGAGAGCGGTGGGGAAAGGAGCTAATGAGCTCACCCCCTCAGCTAAACCCTCATTCCTGGGGTGCTAACCAGCTCACACACGGGGTACCAAGGCTGTCCTGCCCTAAGCCCAGCTCCCGGCATTAACCATTAACAGGCAACAAATTAGATTCCAAGGCACCTCTCTGACTGGTCAAGAGCCGCTCCAGAGAGTTACAAGACTCATCTGTTTGGTCGTTAAAAACACAAGCTATGCCAAAGGCACCTGGAGCACCAGAGCAGTAGGTTCTATAGGACGCCTACACTGAAAGAAAGGAGGAAAATATTCCGCAGGTGCTGTCCTCCCTCACTCTACACTTCCCCTCCCATCAGATCACTTACAGATAAAACCCAGGCAGGGGTTTGGGTCTCTGACATGGACACTGGGAACAGCTTCCTCTTGCCCTACTGACATATGGCCCCACTCAAAGTGCCTCTGCAGCTATGTCTGCCAAAGAGAGGCCAGTGAGACTCTGCTAAACGGCTTCCCTCTCCCGGAGAGCTAACAGCTATCTCTGCCGTGCCAAGCCCACATACCTCCTCTGCCTGCTCCTAGGCCACGTCTTCCCTCACACCCTCATGTCAAAGATCAAACCAACCAGCAACACAGAATTACAGAACCTTTAAGCAAAAACACCAGAGAGAAACCAGCTCCCTCTAACACGGAGCTCTCCTAGGAGAATGAAAGGGCCTGGCCAAAGGGAGATGTGCAGTGATGCTCTGGGCAAGCTGAATGCCTGTTCCATTGTAGGAGTTGTGCATTAAACAAGTACATAAGAGCTGCCTTCGTTTTAGCTTGAAACCTGGGTGCAGGGAGCCCTGGTAGCTGATTCCTGCAGGGAATCATCCAGTCCCCATTGATCATGGATCAAACTCAAACTAACTTCAACACAAGCCTCTTCTCAAGGAAGATCTGCACTACAGCAGCTGGTGTTCTGACACCAAGGGAGGGTTCCCATCAGACACTGCATTTCCACTCAGCGGAGCAGGTCCCTTCAGGGACGGGGCCAGGTCTGGACTCTGCCCCTGCTTTGGGGCATGCTGAGGGTACAGCACAGGGCAAGCCCTGGTCGGCTAGCACTGTGCTCAGTGCTCCTGGTGGGGAGGAGGCTTTAGAGGCCTGTGAGATCTACGATGGCTTTAATAAAGATGGCGTCGTCACGCACGTAAGAGTTCTTGGCCTCCATCTTGGAGACTGGGCAGAAGAGTGGGCAGCCACTGGCAACGTTCATCTCGGTGACGGGTCGCTGGAAGGACGATGACGTCACATCGGGTCGGAAAGCGTCGATAATGTGCTCCCGGTTATTCTGATCCAGCAGCATCAGGGTCACCTAGAGGTGAATACAAAAGAGAAAGAGCATGAAGCAATATAGCAAACATGCAGCCCCCTGTCTGTGACTCCCATTCATTTTAACCTTTGGAAAGCTGCAGACACACACACAACCTTACACATTCATGTAGCAGCAAGCTGGGGTAATACCTGCGTTCAGGCTCAATTCCAAGCCCCAGCAAGATCTACACCCTGCAAGAAGGCTCCCTGCTTTCTCCCAGTCTCTGCTGTGCCACAAGGGAAATTCTACACTTGGTTCAGAGGGACTGACAACTAGGGACTTTGCTAAATTCAATTCGAAAATGAAGTCCGCGCAGCAGCCCGGGTAGCCAGCAGCTGCAGATTTTGATATTCAATTTGATCCTGCCCCATCGCATGCATGTCCCTTTGAGATAAGCAAGGCACATCACACTGCTCCAATGGGTCGTTTCAAGCACCGCATCAGTTTATACCTGGTTCTTATTTTTAAAGTTTTCTTCACAACTGCCAAGGTTTAGAAATTTAATTTAGAAAATAAAGATGACAGTTCAGATTAAGGGAGCACAATTCAGGGTCCCTAAACATCGGAGAACACAGAACATGGTTACTATGAAAGTTCTGCTCATTCTCCAAACACATCCCACTCCTGACTGTATCTTTGTCCCTCTTCCCCTTCCCCTCTCCTCTGGGCCTCTCTTGTAGTATTCTGGGCTTTCATCATGACAGGAGCCTGCATTGAAGAGCTCCCCCAAATGCAGTAATCCTCAAACTGTGGGTCGGGACCCCATTTTAATGGGGTCGCCAGGGCTGGCTTAGACTTGCTGGGTTCTGGGGTGGAAACTGAAGCCTGAGCCCCACCACCTCAGGTCAAAGCCGAAGCCCGAGGGCTTCAGCCCTGGACAGTGGGCCTCAGGTTACAGCCCCACCTCCCACCCCTCAGGGTGGCAGGGCTTGGGTCTCCCCTCCTGGGGTCATATAGTAATTTTTGTTGTCAGAAGGGGGTTGTGGTGCAATAAAGTTTGAGAACCTCTGGCCTAGTGTCAACGATTGCATTCTCTGCCTCTGCTTGCTGGAGTGCCAGCTCTCTGGTGTCTAGGAGAGCAGGCATCTGAGGGGCTGAGTGGGGCTAAAGCCAAGGGAAATACATCAAGAGGCCTGGCAGGCCTTTCAGGCACCAGGACTGGTTCTGCACTCACTCCCAGCACCTACCTTCTGATTGAAGGGCCATCGCAGAAGTGCATCGTTGGGTCCTTTCATCACCACAAAGAACAGAGACAAGTGGGTCCCACGTCCAGTGCCGTCCCCGTTTAGGTACACACGCAGGCACATCCTATAGCCATATTTGCTTGTGTAGAAAGCTAAGTGATGCAAAACATTGAGAATAAACAGGGGTGCAGAACAAGGGTTAGGGCAGCAGGGGAGCCCAGATGGTTCCCAAACAGTTTCAACTGTCTATTGACTTTGGCTTTTGAAGCGTAAGTAGGAGCAGGCTCCCTGAGCTGGGGTCCCACAGGAGCAGCTCCACTGGGTGCAGATAAAGGGGGTTAATAAATGATGGCACATGTATTTAAAAGCACACACGACTCTGGGGCCCCAGTACATGAGGCACTAGGCCCAACTAACATGCGTCCACTGTTACAAGGCAAGAACAAGGAGTTTGCTGACCTTTAAAGGATTTCCCTCCACTCTTCTGCTGCCCTGCAGAGACAACTCCACTCTGACAGATGGAGCTGGAGCCTATACCTGCTTAGGAAACAATCCCACTGCTGCCTATGTTCCAGTGACAGGGCCAGTCACACCTGTGCAACCCCATTAAAGGGAACAAGGCTGAACAAGTGTCACTGAGGGCCTAGTCTGGCCTACTCCCCTTCATTACTAGCAATGAGTGTACAAGCAGGAAAGAACCCAAACTGTGTTTGAGATCTCAGGCTGGCAGACAGAACACTCGCTCAGGCATCTTTCTACTTGTGAACTAACTACCATTGACCTGGAGTCTGGGGCTCAGATACTGAGCCCCACCGTGCCAGGAACACTCAAGTTACTTTAAAACAGTGCAGAGGTGTAGTTTTACATTCAGCCACCGCCTTTTGTTCCCTCTTTCTTTAAGCTATGCATCTCCTTTTCCACAAGGAAGGGGACAGCACACTGCGCGTAGCTGCGGCTATATTGCACAGTGTGCCTTTGAAGGAGTCATGCAGGGAACAGCCCGTTCATAACGATGCACCAGTGTGGATACACCAGCGTGCTAACGCTGGCAGAATGTGAGGGGAATGGGTAGCTTGTGTGCACATGGAGGGTAATACGATCAGGCCCATCTCTAAGGGACTGGGTGCACTGTTATGACGGGATGCACAGGGGCAGTGTGGTCCAGTGGGTCAGACACCGAGCTGGGACTTAGGAGAGCTGGCTGCTACTGTTGGCTCTGGCACTGACAAGTCACTTCATCTCTGTTCCCCACTGCTCCGTCTGTCGGTGCAGACTGTAAGCTCCTGGGGACAGAGCCGGTCACTTCCACTATGGAGCTATTGTGCAGTACTCGGCACAATGGGGCCTGAGCTCAGCTGGGGCCTCCACGCATTACTGAGATGTTCATAATTCAAAAACAAACTGAGGGAAGAAGGGGAAGGACAGCTGAGCAAAGTACGAGGCAAGCTCAGGTGAAGACAGACCAACCAGCAAAGTACCGGAGATATGTATGCTAGAAATCACCAAGTGTCCATTTAGCTCAGTAAGGAAAACTACGCACCTACAAGGCAATTTTTAACCAATCCTAACCTCTGTTTCTCTGCCTCATTTCTGCATTGCTAAAGCAACATCAGGACTGCAGCTTCCTGCCTGGTGGTGGGTCTAAGTAACATGCAGGAAACACAAACCTTTGAACTCAGGGCCTGGCAGGTAAGTTTTTCCTTCCCCATAAACATTCTCTTCTCAAGTGTTTTTCCATGAAAAAACCTCTCTCTCTCTTTCATTTCCAGTCCCTTTCAAACCAAGCACAACACATTGCTTTTCTGTGGGCCTTGGGGCTTGAACAAAAAGAAACCCAAACCCTGTTTGTAACAGGATCCACAAATGTCTATGCTCCCTTTGTTGCAGCAATTTTAAAAAAAACACTGTTCCCACAGCTGTGAGATCATCAGTGATCCTGGCTCATTAATAAAGATGTGACACAGGATGTACGAATTAATATCTTATATAAAAAGAAAAGGAGTACTTGTGGCACCTTAGAGACTAACCAATTTATTTGAGCATAAGCTTTTGTGAGCTACAGCTCACTTCATCGGGTGCATACTGTGGAAAACACAGAAGATGTTCTTATACATACAAACCATGAAAAAATGGGTGTTTACCACTACAAAAGGTTTTCTCTCCCCCCACCGCACTCTCTTGCTGGTAACAGCTTATCTAAAGTGTGGGGGGAGAGAAAACCTTTTGTAGTGGTAAACACCCATTTTTTCATGGGTTGTATGTATAAGAACATCTTCTGTGTTTTCCACAGTATGCATCCGATGAAGTGAAGTCTCTAAGATGCCACAAGTACTCCTTTTCTTTTTGCGAATACAGACTAACACAGCTGTTACTCTGAAATATCTTATACAGCATCTCCCTCCAAAGTGTTTCCTACTAAAATGCAGCTACTTCTGGGGAAGAGTACAGGCATCAGCCAGCATATAGCATGTTACACAAGAAGGGAAGTGGGGGTGAGAGAGGAGACATTTAGGCCAAGGAAACTGGGTCAGACCCCTCCAGGGCTGTATGAGTTTAGTGCCCAGAGAGCAGACAGAATGTAAGATGTTAAGGTCTCATCTCAAAGGCGCACACCAAATGGCATGGAACTCAGTGTGTCTGCTTCGGAAATACAAAGGGCAGAGTTGACCCTGCTAGAACGTGGAGTCTAGGGGGTTTCAAGGCTGATCACTGTTTTTAAGAGGAAGCCTTACTAGATCAAACACAGTTATGGGAAAGCTTCAGTTCCACTGAAAAACTGGAGAAAAGGGATTTTCCAAGGGGCAAAAATGTTTTTGATAGAGAATAAAAAAGTCCCCATACAATATAAAAATAACCACAACTGGTGATGTAAAACAGTTCTTTAGATTGTCTGTTTAAACTAGTCTGTCTCTGGCTTATGTGCAATTCCAAGGACTGGCTGCTTTAAAAAGGAATCGTCCTGCTGCTTTAGAAATAGAGCTGTTCCTGTCGGCACAGACACAGATTCCATAACCCTCGCTAGGGCACTAGGAACGCCGGGGCTCATTTAGTACTGAGCCCCTCCAAAGAGATGGGGTCGGGAGTGCTGGGATGCTGCTGCTTTAGCAAGTTCACAGCTCAGGCAAGACCAACACGGGTAGTGATCTGCAGACTCTCTTTAGAAGACCTGGAATGCTGCATGGCTGGGGTGAGCATGCTGACTATCTGAAGAGCAGGCAGCTGCGCAAGCCTCGCTGGAGATATGCATATTTCTCGATCCCTGTGCAGTAACACAGTTTAGTCTTTGGACACACTGTATATTGTCATGTTATGCTCTAGGTACCTTGATTCCTTCCCTTGCTTACCAGCTCCCTGATGGCCCTAATTTTGGTTGTGCTGTGTAAAAAGGGCTATTATTGCCGGACTATTTCCAGGCCTAAGAGGGCTACATTTCCTGATGGGAAAGAAAAGTCTTCTGTGTGCAAGGAAAAAGGGATATCTTATAGCAATGCAATTTCACTTATCTCACTGTAACAAATCAGTCTCTAATGCATTCTTGGGGGGTGAGGGAAAGAACTTGGGAGGAACAATCTCTGCATGCCACATGCCCCTTTCAACACTACTCAAATGACTGGGCACAGCTGGAGCATGGAAAGCCTCACAGTATTTTGCTAATGTCTAGGTAACAACCTGGAGAGAAGATGGCAGGACAGCGGCCAGCTATCGCCTCCTGACGTTTTCTGGCAAAGTCTGAAATCTTCCAGATGAAAACGCCATCATAGGTGGAAGCTTCCATGTCACGGATCTTTTGCTCCATGTCAGCCATGGCCAGATCTTTCAGTCCAGTGCTCCTTTCCAGCTGCCGGACCTGATCAGTGGAATACACAGTGCACCTTGTTTAGAAATATAAGTTGGTAAGGGACCCAGGAAAGTCAAGGGATCCTGTGAACCTCATTCAGGCCTGATCTTTGGGGGGGAATGTTCTCCAGATGTGATGGTGGCCAGGAGAGGGAAGAAATCCACCACTATTGGTGAACTCACTAAAAATAATTTGAGATTGCCCTGCTGCTCTTGAGCAAACAGTTAACCAACACCTCTCTTCACTGCCAGAGCAGGGCACTTTCTAGCTGTGATGGCAGAATCCGGTCAATGAAGGATGAGACGGCCTAGAGCCAGACAAAGATTGCAGAGCATACTGTAAGGGATCAGTTTTGTACTGGTAGGAGGATGACCTACGTAACAGGTCTTTTCCTGCTCTAATGTGTATGCAGTTTTGAAATGGCATCTAGATCAGTGGTTCCTACACTTTAACAGCCCGCGAACCCCTTTCACTAAATTGTGAAATCTCGTGAACCCCCTCCTAAAAATGAATATTTCCAGGGATTTAAATTTAAATTTCCTCCGCACTCCGTGGGGCTCCTGCTGCTGGACCCCGTTGACCGCCCTGGTCAACTGAGCTCCACTGAGCTCAGGTAGCAGGTCCTGCTGACCACCAGGGCTCAGGCTGTCAGCCCCAACTGCCTGGCCCCGCTCTTCCTAGGGCTCGGGCTGCAGCCCCAAGCGCAGTGCTGGGGTTCGGGCGGCCGGCTCCCCGGCTGACAGGGGCAGGGCTCAGGCTGCCAGCCCAAACTGCCTGGCCCCACTCTCCCTGGGGCTTAGGCTGGCAGCCCCGCGCAGAGCGCTGGGGTTTGGGCTGCCGGCTCCCCCGCTCACGGGGGCAGGGCTCAGGCTGCCAGCCCCAACTGCCTTGCCCCGCTCTCCCTGGGGCTCAGGCTGTCTGCCCTGCAACTGGGTCCCACCTGCTGCCTCCAATGCCCAGGGTCCTCTGGCCGCCATGAGTGAAATTTTTCTGGTGAACCACCCGTAATGTTCTGCGAACCCCAGTTTGGGAACCACTGATCTAGATACTAGGGTGATGGACACCCTGAAAAAGTCTAAGACTTAGTCTACACTCAAAAAGTTATACTTGTGTAACTATGTCAGTTGGAGATGTGAATTTTTACCAATATAGTTATACCAGTATAACTTCTAGTGTGGACACATGTACACCAGTATAAAGATGCCTTATTAGCTTATTTTGGTTCCCAAAGCAGAATAAGCTTTGACAGTATAACTGCTTCCACACTAGTGTGGGGCAGGGGGAGGTTTGCTGCTTTAACTACGCTGGAACGTTTCAAGCAGAAAACTTTTCTAGAGTAGACAAGCTGAGGATGCAGGTAAGACTGCAGAAACTGAGGTTCTCCCACTATAAGGGTGAGGAGCTGACCAGGCTCAGGGGTCATTACAAATACAGGAGGGATCTTTCAACATCCAGAAAGCTGAAATGCTGCCTCCTCTGTATACCTCACAGGAGTACGTGTCCAGAGAGCTTTTTCTCAGAACATCTCAAATATACTCATAGCTTGGCTCCTGATAGCTGTGAGGTCATATCACAGACCCCTGCACACATTACACTTGCACTAAAGCTAAAAACTTTAATTACTGGGACAATTGATTTGAAAGATGTTCATAGAACACAAAGAATCAGAAGCCCAAAGCCAGAGGTTACAGACCTTGTTACTGAGCATTTCAATTTTCTCCTGATCCAGCCGATGTTGCCGACTATACGCCTCCACTGTCAGAGACACCCTTTCCACTTCCCGATTCAGCACACACACAATATTTTCAAATGTGATCGTCTTCCTCTCTAGGGCCTCGCACCTCCCCTGCAGCTCCAAGGACTCAGAGAGCTCTGATTCAGAGCACAGCGAATTGGTTGTTAAGAGCATGGAGTTGTCCTGCATTGACCCACGGGTTGGGTGGTGCTTTAAGTCTCCAGACTCAGCCTTGAGGCGGAGCACAAAGCCCAGCAACATATACAGATGCTCCCCCACACATTTGCTTTCGTGCTCCAGCAGCATTTCATTTTCCACCTGCAGAAAAAGAAATACTCATTCCCATTTGCAGCAAGTTAGCTTCCCACTATGGCACGAGATCCACAGGACCGATTCATCCCCTCCGATTTACAACTGTAACTAACATAAGCAAAGGGTAATGCAACGAAAGACACAGTTACAAACTTGTTGTTCAACAGCAAGCAGGTTTTTTTTTTTAAAGGAAAATTCTAATCTTACACAATGACAGATGTTGAACATTCGCCCCACTGTAGATATGATAAAGCTTTGCCCCCCTTCTATAGCACCTTCAGTCCAAGGATCCCTCAGAAGCACTTTACAAACAGTAGTGAATGAACCCTCTCGAAACCTCTGGGACGGGATGTATTACTATTATTATCCCCAAACTGCAAAGAGAGAAAGTGATTTGCCAAAGTGAGAACCCATGTCGGCTGATACCCTGTCCTGTGCTTTACCCATAAGCTCAGCCATCACACAGAATCAGGAGTCATTTATTTATAAAATCACATCTGTAATAACACCATCCTCCCAGCTACTCAGGAATTACATGAAAACCGTCTAAGACCTACTCTTTGGCATGTTCTGAATGGAGGTGTTTACTACTCTCCAAATTCTCACTGTCTGAAGAGTCCACACTACGAAAGACTGCCCCATCCCTCCCACACACACGCACCCGAGCATGGCTTACTCCTCAGGCATTACCAACCTCCTTTGGCACTTGCCTGCAGCAGTGTGCTATGGCATGCTACTGCATAGCTGAAAGTACCACTCAGCTAAATTGCTGCAGGCAGATGCCAAAAGCATTCCTCTGGGTTCTGGCTCCAACACCAAAAGGATCTAATAAACCAATCCTGGTCCTGATCCAGGAAGGTTTCTTTATTGCACTCAGGCTGATTTGTACTTTCAGCTCCTAAAGGCTGCTGGGCTGCCTGGTCTTGGATCTAGTGAGTTACAGACAGGCTGAAATTATTTGCAATTGTGTAGGGTCAACAGGAGGGTCGTGTGCAAACTGCTTGCAGGTTAGGGCCCAGAATGAAAAATGTGTCCTATTCCCAGGGAGATAAGCCTCATTGGGCAGAGCCTCACAGTCTTTAAAGGTAGATTATCACCGTGGTTTGGTATCCAGGAGCGGCAGTCTGACTTTAAGCACAGGGAGTTTGCTATTCACCGCCCGGGAGAGCTTACTGAACGGCTTCTCTTCCATTCCCCACAACACCCGGCTCCAGAAACAAGAGTGACTATTAGCCTTCATTGGCCAAGCTCAGAAGCCTGGACACACTTCCCCACAAAACAGTCTATAAGAAGATCCCTGAACCACGCTCCCAGGGAACAGGAGCGCCTGCTTTCTCTGAATATTAGCATTCTGCTATGAGGAATTTTTCTGCACTGAGGAAACAATCACTTCAAATCAATTAATTCTCTAGATACATCCAGCTCTGGATACTGGACAGAAAATCTTAGACATAAGTTGCGTTCCCACTGCTTAGCTAGAGCATCAGCAGCACTCAAATTTCAACCCCCCACCCCCACCATAGGCCAGCTACATTTCACTTCACTCCATCTAGAGCTCTGTGTGTGTGGATGCAAGATGAGCTGGGGCAACACTCAAGTTATACCAAAAGCTAACACTGCAGTGAAGACAAGGCCCTAGACAAATATTAAGAAACTGGCCTTACCATCTCAGTGCAGCCGACAACGTGAAATCTGCAAGGCACTTTACATTTGCCACAAGTCTTCACATGGTCCTGAAACTACAGAAAAGGGAAAAACAACATGACAAATATAAGCCTAATTCTTCCATTTTACACACCCCAAGAAACTCCACGCCCTACACCCAAGACAAGACAGAAAGGTGAAGATGAACTAGAGGATAACTGACCCTTCTTTACTGATCATGACACAGTTGTGTTCCATGAAGCTGATCCAACAGTGCTTAAGGGCCAGAGAGTTGATTCACCCAATGGTATTGATCGGGCACTTCCTCTTTAGGTGCCCCAACAGCACAGGACACAATGCAGGGATTGGCAGGGCCCAGGGGGAGCAGGGATAATCCCACTTGCCACTTCTGCATTTGCTCCTTAGTGAAGATACAATTGACCATCGCCTGCATAATGAGATCTGTCTTCAGTGACTGTCCAAGGGAACAGACAAACATGGCAGCCTAGAATCTGGCCAAACAAAGCTGTACAGGAAGCTCTGGGATTACTTTGAAGTGGCCAGTTAAAACAAGATGCCACCTACTAAAGGTGGGGGCCTCATTGCAGCTCTCATCATAACTCAAACATTCCTTTGCAACTGAAAATGAAGCTCCTTTAAAAAAAAAAAAAAAAAGGCTTCCCAGGAGCACATACAAAATGTGCCAGATCAATGGGGATTAGTGTGACCAATGACACACTCTTTCAAAGTGATGCCATATGGCAAGCCCATAAACTTTGTCAGGGGTGGAACAGCCATTTTGGACAGATGGACATTCATCCAACTTTGTGCAGGTTTCACAATCACGTAATTGAGCAAATAAAAAAGACAAGCCAACAAATGCAAGAAGGTTTCAAGAGTAAGAGTGACATTCCACCCTTAGCAGTCCTGCTGCTTCTTGCAAGCACTGCATGAAGCCACGGGAGTCCCAAAGCTTCCCCTCTCCCCCGCATATTTTCCAGTTCACTCCTTTGGTGTAACTGTGCCTGCGGGCTGTTGGAGATGATGCACTGTATCAAATCCATGACTTTATACAATGATGGCTCTTATTTCCAGCTAAGCATAGAAGACCTAAGAACTAGGTCTCATGTTATTTCTTGTTTGAATCCCTACTGCAAACACTTTGCCACAAGCAGGTGCCCTCTTTCAGGGTCCACTAATCCTTTCATAGAATCATAGAATATCAGGCTTGGAAGGAACCTCAGGAGGTCATCTAGTCCAACCCCCTCCTCAAAGCAGGACCAACCCCCAATTAAATCATCCCAGCCAGGGCTTTGTCAAGCCTGACCTTAAAAACTTCTAAGGAAGGAGATTCCACCACCTCCCTAGGTAACGCATTCCAGTGTTTCACCACCCTCCTAGTGAAAAAGTTTTTCCTAATATCCAACCTAAACCTCCCCCACTGCAACTTGAGACCATTACTCCTTGTTCTGTCATCTGCTACCACTGAGAACAGTCTAGAGCCATCCTCTTTAGAACTCCCTTTCAGGTAGTTGAAAGCAGCTATCAAATCCCCCCCCCCCCCCATTCTTCTTTTCCGTAGACTAAACATCCCCAGTTCCCTCAGCCTCTCCTCAGAAGTCATGTGTTCCAGTCCCCTAATTATTTTTGTTGCCCTCCGCTGGACTCGTCCCAATTTTTCCACATCCTTCTTGTAGTGTGGGGCCCAAAACTGGACACAGTACTCCAGATGAGGCCTCACCAGTGTTGAATAGAGGGGAACAATCACGTCCCTCGATCTGCTGGCAATGCCCCTACTCACACATCCCAAAATGCCATTGGCCTTCTTGGCAACAAGGGCACACTGTTGACTCATATCCAACTTCTTGTCCACTGTAACCCCTAGGTCCTTTTCTGCAGAAGTGCTGCTGAGCCATTTGGTCCCTAGTCTGTAGCGGTGCATTGGATTCTTCTGTCCTAAGTGCAGGACTCTGCACTTGTCCTTGTTGAACCTCCTCAGATTTCTTTTGGCCCAATCCTCCAATTTGTCTAGGTCCCTCTGTATGCTATCCCTACTCTCCAGTGTATCTACCTCTCCTCCCAGTTTAGTATCATCCGCAAACTTGCTGAGAGTGCAATCCACACCATCCTCCAGATCATTTATGAAGATATTGAACAAAACCGGCCCCAGGACCGACCCTTGGGTCACTCCACTTGATACCGGCTGCCAACTAGACATGGAGCCATTGATCACTACCCGTTGAGCCCGACAGTCTAGCCAGCTTTCTATCCACCTTATCGTCCATTCATCCAGCCCATACTTCCTTAACTTGCTGGCAAGAATACTGTGGGAGACCGTGTCGAAAGCTTTGCTAAAGTCAAGGAACAACACGTCCACTGCTTTCCCCTCATCCACAGAACCAGTGGAGACAGGAAACACTGTACCTCAAACACAGCAAAATCTGCTGCTTCTCAGCACGGCAATGGCTTTTTGGTAGCTGCCCTGCAGGACCATGCACACCCTTTGGAGAGAAGCACGAACAGCTACACTGGAGCATGGAGTTGTTAGTGCTAATCATAGCGCACATGGGAGCCCGAACAGCACTGACACACATCATCCTGTTTTTAAACCTTCCTTCTACCAGTTAGATATGCTGGACCTTTACCGGATGACAATTCACAGCCACATGCTTCACTATGTGGAAATGAAAAGGCGTTTGATGAATTTGACAAATACTCCCACACCCAGGTGACTCACTTACTTAGGGGGCTTGTCCACACTGGTGCATTGTGCACTAACTGGCTGTATGGACCCTACTGGTGCACACTAAAAGTTCCCTAGGTATTACACTATGACCTCGGGGGGAACTTTTAGTGTGCAACAGCAGGGACAACGTGGACCAGTTAGTGTGCAACATGCTAGTGCGCACTAGAATTTACACCCCTCTAGTGCAGACTAACGTACCAGGTAGATAAACCCTTCGTGATTCAAGTTATTCTCTGAGTTACACGCAGCAGCGTGGTTACGCTGGGACAATGTCTACTGTGGAGCAACAAAAAATTTGGAGAGAAAGGAAAGAGAGATGAAGTTAAAACTTTAAACAACTGAAAGTCCCACTCCGTATTCGTACAAGTCTGGGTCAGCTGTAATGGCTTCAGATTTCAGACTCAGGCAGATTGGCGTCCAATGATCACAATGCCAGGGCTATAGGACAGAGGTGGGCAAACTACAGCCCACAGGCCACATCTGGCCTGTGGGACTGTCCTGCCTGGCCCCTGAGCTCCCAGCCGGGGTGGCTAGACCCCGGCCACTCCCCCGCAGTCCCCCCTCCCTCGCAGCCACAAGGACAGCGTGGCTTGCACCCGCCCACCTCCCAGGCTTTCCAATAAGCCTGTCCTGCCGCTCTGAGAGGCACGGTAAGGGGGCAGGGGAAGACGGAGTTGGATAAGGGGCAGGAGGTCTCGGGGGGTAGTCAGGGGGCAGTTGGATGGGACGGAGGTTCGGGGGATGGCAGTCAGGAGAAGGGGGGAGGGGTTGGATAGGGGGTGAGGTCCCGGAAGGTCAGGGGGTCCCAGAGGGGGGCGGGACAGGGAGCGGGGGGGGTTGGATAGGGGGTGGAGTCTTGGGGGGGCAGTTAGGGATGGGGGTCCTGGGAGGGGGCGGTCAGGGGACAAGGGGGGGTTGGATGGGTCAGGGGTGTGGATAGGGGTTAGGGCAGTCAGGGGACAGGGGGGGTTGAATAGGGGGTGGGGCGGTTAGGGGCAGGGGGTTCCGGGGGGGGGAGGGGGCTGGTCAGGGGACAAGGAGTGGGGGGGGGTTGGATGGGTCAGGGTTCTGAGGGGGGCAGTCAGGGGGCAGGAACTGGGAGGCAGTAGATAGGGGACGGGGGCCAGGGTGTTTGCGGAGGTACAGCCTTCCCTACCCGGCCCTCCATACCATTTTGCAACCCCAATGTGGCCCTTGGGCCAAAAAGTTTGCCCTCCCCTGCTATAGGTGTTGAGGCCTCTACTACTGTCCACTTTGAAACCTTCTTTACCCAACTTTTCAGACTCTCTCCTGTTCCCAGTGGGAAGCCCATCCATTTCAGCTGCCTCAAGGCAGCTTTCAGTTATTAGATGGGAGAGTGACCGAGGGGTTCACTTTTCCAAGGTGACTCACAATCAAGGTTTTAGAACTTCAGTGCCTCATCACTTGTCCCAAGAGTCACTCCTTGGGCAATCGCTGTGGAGTCCAATGCTAGGTCTGAAGGGTTGTAGGTCTTTCATTTAGTGGAATAGCGGTGTTCCTTCCCTACTAACTACAGCAGTTAACGTAACTCTATCGTCTAGGATACGTGTTGTTGTGGCCATGTTGGTCCTAGGATATTAGAGAGACAAGATGGGTGAGCTAATATCTTTTATCAGGCCAACTTCTCTTGGTGAGAGAGACAAGTTCTGAACTCTGTGTAAGCTTGAAAGCTTGTCTCTCTCTCCAACAGAAGTTGGTCCAATAAAAGATGTTTACCTAGGATAAGTTACCCACTATGCAAGGATGAAAGAGTCTCTCTGGTCATTGTGGTTAGCACCCAAATACAGCATTAATCAGAGTCTGATTTAGGTGGAGTTACTCACTACTCATGAAAAAACATCAAGTAATTATAGTGCATCACAAATTGAGATAACACCATTGCTAAGAGCCTTATGGAACATTGTAACTGGGTGTGAATGGCAGCTGCCTCTCAAAATTAAATGTGTTCAATTGTTTTCCTTCACTCCTCAATACAGACTGAACACTCTCATGAGCTAGCTCAAGGGTCCCTCTTCTATGCTCACAGAATTCAAGTCACATTCTGTCAGAACTCAAACCACATGCAGCGTGTGCTATGAAACAAGAATGTTCAAATACCTTCTCTCTTGGAATCTTCTTTTTCCCACAGCCCTCACAACTCAGTGGAAATTTAGGGCAGATCTCATCATGAGCCTGTAAAAGAAGTGACAAGAGGCCATTTGTACACCTAAAACAGCTTTGATAAGGCCACTGTGAAGAATGCAACTCAATGAACCCAATACTTTATTACGAATACATTTTACTAGCAAAAGGCCTGTCATGTGACAGCACATAAATCAAATCCTGGCCTAATCGTGGTGTTTCTGTATGTCAAGTCATGTTTCTACATTGCAGTTTCCAGGCTGTTATGGTGTTTGAGTGCCTTTGTGCCTTTCCAAGTACTCAGCATTGATTTAAGAGTGTTAGTTTCAGCTCATACTAATTGTGAGAAAAATCAAATTACTTCTTTGATGGAATAACATAATCAAGAGGAAACTACAGTTGTAGCTTTGCCTGGAACTCACATGTTCAGGAGATTTATGTGAAAAAAACCACCCTCCTGATAAGAAGTTTCCATGATCTGCCAGTCCTAACGGACATCAGTTGGCTGAATTAAAACCCCAAAGCCACACTTGACAGCTACAGATCATGAGCTTTCCAGTGTTGCCTCCCATGTCCAGATCAGTTCACCAAGCAAGTGCTTCTCAACCAACCAGACAGACAATCATATTTTAAAGATAAAAATTTTTTAAAACCCTACATTTGTTCTGCAGTAAGAACTTTGTTTTAGGACGGAAAAGAGAATACACAAAAATGACCCTAGAAACCTGATTTTTTGACCCCTCAACAGATAAAAGTAAAAATTAAGATGGGAACTCTAAACATCCTCTCATCTTTTCATCTCTTTCCTGTAGTGCTGAAACCCTCTCTTCCTACATTCCTTCTGTGATAAGCAAAATGTCTAATCACTCGATCTTGTGTAAGTTAAAATCTCCTACCCAAAAGGGAAATTTAGACAACGTGTTTTAGTACTCTTCTTATGTGCCAGATAGGTTATGCCATCTTTCTGATATTCTACTGGAGTTCTATTGCCTATACGTATATTGCAAGTCAGATTAAATATATAGAATTGTTCACTTAGTACTAGAAACTCATTCATTTTAATGAACTTCCTTTTATAAATACACAGTTCTTTCTGTTGTCTAAAATCTGAACTATTTGGGAACCTTGCAGGTCATGTTCATACTGTATAAAACTCACACTCTTAAAGACTTGTTTTGTTTTTTAAACCACTAGCTACATTTCTACCACCACATCAGAAACGGAAAAGAGAAATCCATTTGCTAACTCATATTAATGTTTTACTAATTACTCTTTTCCTTCCATAGATTAAAAGAACAGTATTTGAGCCAAGAGAGCAGCTGCAATGTCTTTGGAGATGTGAATGCTACAATCTACTGACAGTTCAAACAGGCTGGATTAACTGTGTACGTCAATACCAAGGATTATTAGAATTCTGTAAAAGTTGGTGTGGGGTGTGTGACTTCAAACCACTCAAAACAGAGGGGTTGATTCCCTCCCTACCCAGCAATTGCTCCTATCCTAAGAGGGATCCAGACAATTTCTTCATTCCCTTCCTTATCCCATAAAATCTTGATAACAGCACCACTTCACTTCAGTAAAGGGAGGAAGGTTTGACCTCAAATGCAACTATTTCAAAAGGGATAGCATATACAATAGATGATCTGACGAGGTGGAGCTGTAGACTCCCTCAAGTCTGCCATTTACAAACAGGTCTCATTTCTACCCCTCTTCCCTCCAGCCACTCTCCCTTCCTAGCCCTCTCATTCAATCCCCACCCAGCTCCCAACCAGTCTAAGACTGCTGCACAGCATTTATCTTCCATGAAGGAAAGAACATTTATGTTCTAAGTAGCAGCCGCAGATAGTGCATGTTCAGTAGAGTCTATCTGAGAGATACACTCTGTTCATGCCAGCAGGAAGGGAAGTACTGATTGAGCACAAATCTGCTGTTATGGTGTAAATGAAACTGCACTGTGCTGTATCTCTCTAAGACATCTACAAATATTAGCTTTAACAGGCACATTTCAAAAAAATTCCATACAAATATCTGAATTTTTTTCTGGATTCTCCACTGGTTTTCCCCGCACCATATCCTTCTCCGCTCGCAGCACAGGTACCATGGAAAGCTGTTCAAAGCAAAGCTATTTTTTTACTTCCTATAAAAGGAAGCCACCCCACCCTTGGGCCAATGAGGCAGAGGGATATCATTCAAGAATGATGCATTACAATCTAACCCCACCGGGATGGAGCAATCATTTACAGCCCCCGCCAGCTGGCAAGGTATGCTGCCACAAGGGCAAATCTCTCTTTTTAACTTGAATGTTCAAGGTTTCATCTCCATCACTTTTAGGCAGCTTGCCATTACTCTCAGAGTGGGCTGTATAACAACAAAGTCTCCTTTCCCATTACATTATCGCCCTGCAAGCAGATTGGGAAAATCCAAGAGAACAGAGGGGAGTGGAAAGGCTTTAGTCTTGCTTAAACACTAAGGGGCTGATCTTGCAGCTACCGAATTCCAATCAGTCAGTGGCAAAATGGCACACATCGTGGTTTCATATCAGACCCTAAGAATGCAACTGAACCAACAGTACAATGACAACCCTGGGTAAAGTCAGCATCTTGCAAAGCAACATCTAGCTTCTCTCATTCAAGTAAAGCTTGAAGTATTCATTAGTTTGCAAATAACTTCCTTTCCCTAAAAGCGACAGTGAAACAGCCCAGTGATTGCTCCATTGTACAAGCCACTTCGAGGATCTCTACACTGGAGTTTGTGGTCTTCTTTTAGCTTAACTGATTGCCAAGTCACTCAGGATAACTAAGACCCTTGGAAGTGCCAATCTAGACACTTTATGAACATTTGTTCAGGACACAAATGATTGTGATTTACCCTAGCAGCTAGTTAAAACAGGACCATAAATTTCAGACTAGACAGATCCTTGCTTCTCTCAAGAAGTGCTAATACAATGATCTACCTCTAATGGAGAGTACTCACACTTGCTCACTTGCCTCAGGGTGCTTGTCTAGATGGGTCTCAGGGTAAGGATACCTGAAGTGTGCTTATGCTGGGACTCTCATACCTTAATGTCTGGAAAGTAGAAAAGCGATTTGCAGTATTTGCAGTTGAGGCTTCTCTCGGGGCATTCCCGCTCCGAATGGCGCTCCTTTTCATTCAGTTTGATCATTCCCTTACATGCCAGGCACTCAATCAGCATGAACGGGCAGTCCCCTTCATGGCAGCTCTGTGACAACAAGAGCAGCACATTTCAATACAACCATACAAAAACCCCACAAATGCAGATGCTTTGAGATGCGTAAAGCCCATTTCCTAATGGCTCTCAGGATGAAAGGGCCTTCTGAGCCTGCACAAAGAGGGCAAAGGAAACTAACAACTTAATTCTATTTTCACTAAGACTATGTCTACACTATGCACCTTTTGGCAACACATCTGTGCCACTAAAAGGCACACAGTGTAGCTGCTGTTTGATGGCAGGAGAGAGGTCTCCCACTGGCAAAATCATCCACCCCCAATGAGCGGCAGTAGCTTTGTCAAAGTGCTGTTCACACCGGCACTTTTCATCGGCAAAACTTGTGTCATTCGGGGAGTGTGTTTTTTTCACACTCCCGAATGACAAAATTTTTGTCATTCAGGTTTCAGTGTAGACAAAGCCTTAGTGTCTTATCCAAGTGTTATCCAGAATGGGGGGGTAGGGAGGCTGCCAGAGACACACGGGACACAGCAGAGTAGTGGGGGTGGAGTAGGCTGCATAACCCCCAACACCACTGCAAATGTTCTCCCCCACTGCAGGTTGCTCCTTGAAGGCCATACTATGCTGCCCTTGGAGTGCCCTACTGTAGCTGTCCACAGGAACAGCCTGCATACAAAAAGCTGTAGGCTCTGCCAGCAGCCCGATGGCCCAAGCTTCTCTTCTCTGCTCCCATGGCCCTCAGCTCAGCCATGAGATTACTAGAGACCACGTGGCCTTCTGGAGAGACTGGGGAATGCCATCAGGAGCAGAAGCCACCATGGGAGGGAAAGAGGGAAAGCAATAAAAGAGGAAAGAAAATGAACAGAGAGATTGCAGCCGATATTCTGTATAGTCACCCATTTGGCAGAACTGTGCTCCAGAATCTCAGCTTTTATTTTAAAAGTTTCTAGTCCATATAACTGTGGAGAAAAATCTTGAAGAGGTGCCCAGTACAATCTGCAGATAGATGTCTGCCTTCATTTGTAGAGAGGCTGAAGCAATAGCTCTATGAGGTGGGACCAGCCTCATTTATCGCAATCAGGGCTCCAGGGACTCCAAGATTCTCTGGCTCTGGAATGTGGCATTTTTCCCAAGATGCCAAAAAAATTCAGCATTTTTGCCATGGAATTTGTCACTCTGCTACAGCCAGATGACTGATATTTTGTTTTCTGTCTCCCTCCTTGCGTGGCTATCTCTCCCACTTTCCTCATAAGTGGGTATTAACTGGCTTACAGTGCATACTCCTGACACTGCTCCATGGAGCCTGGCAGCAGGCGGTTGGCAAGCTGGAGCCCAGCTTGCAGCCAGAAGTGTCAGCTGGTGAATGCGGCTACCTAGAGAACAGCAGCACAGCAGCTGATACCAGTAACAAGCTCTCCTTTTTCTGGGGCACTTAGGGGAAGGAGACTGTGGGCCAAGCCACTTGGAGGGCATGACAAATAAACCATCCTCAGAACGAATCACTGACAAAAAGAATTGAAGATTAATTTTATGTTGTGTTTTCTACTGCGAGCTTTGGCTGTGTGGGGTAGGGGGATGGAAATGGGTCTCTGCCTATCAGAGGATTTTACACTGCCTCCTATCACTGTAGGATCTGAATGCCTTCCATGTAACATCCATAGCAACAACCAAGTTCATAGTTGATTTCATGAAGTCTCTGGCTCTCCCTTTTCAGGGTATACACTCTGATTGGGGAGGATTTGGATTTTAATTTTTTAGATTTTATTGATTTATTTTTAGATTGACTTTTGGTATAGGGGGCTTTTAGGTTGGTTCGGGTTTATTGGACACAAAGGAGTTTCAGCACTTTAGCGTCGTTCTCATATGGAAAAGGCCTTTTTGAAGAGGATGGGTTTTGCAGCATTTCCCAAAGTCCGTCAGACTCTGGATTTGCCTAATCTCCACTGGAAGTTCGTTCAAAACTAGGATCCCCTTGACAGAGAATGCTTTGTCCCTAGCTCTCATGTCCTTTGTCCTGGGTTTTATGATCTACATTGTCCCAGAGGAATGCAGCTGTTGCAGTGGTTCATATATCAAAACATGGTCTTGAACTCGCTGGAGTTTGATCCATGAATTGCTTTGAAGCTTAGGACCAAAATCTTAAACTGAAGCGGATTAGGAGCCAGTGAAAGGACTTGAGCATGGGCCTGATGTGCACACGGTGGCCTAAATGAAGAAGGTAGGCAGCTGCATTCCGTACCAGCTGGAGCCTATGCATTGTCTTCACATTCAGCTTCATATACAGTGAATTTCATTTCATGGCAAAAGATTAAATTAACCTTGCTAAGGAAATTGGGAATCAAAGCCATGGAGTACACAAGGCCCTGGATATAGGACATAGTAGATAGCACCCATCCATCACCTGACGCGGCGCTCCAACCAAAGATATTGGGAACTACTGGTCTGAAGGTACCTGCTCTGCAAACCATCACCTTGGTTACATTTAACAGCTACAGATCACAGTTCTTTGGAGACCACCATCTCAGTCTCTCCTTTGTTGCTAATGAGGACACTCCATTCCCAAGATTCTTCTGACAGCACTGAGATTTCTCACACTGCTACTTTCTGGTTTTAGCTCAGTATTCAATGGTTATCTCCACCAGCCAAACAGTATAGCTTAAAAGCACCCAAATACTGCAACTCTGAGGGGTATATGGTCAACTTGCTGAAAGCCCGACAGCCCTGCCTGCTTTGAATAAAGAAGCAACCCTCCTCTTTTAAACACAGAGGATACTTCAGGTCCCAGCACGCAATGCTTCATCTTGATTGAAGCTGCTCAGTCACTTGAATTGAATTGGAGTATTCCATGCTGGCACTTTTCATCTCTATTGGTCTGGCCTCCATACGAAAGATGAGGTCACCAACAAGTCATAAATTAGAACTCTGTGGACCACATCTGGCCAGCCCTGACAGGACACAGCTCCCACCTCCCTTCCAATTTTTAGGGAAGGATGTGGGCAAGGTGAATCAGCCAAATCTGTGTCCCAAAAGTATGGGAGTTTGGACATTAAATATTAATTTTGTTCTTACTTTAGTCTGAGGAGGGAGGCGGCTTTCAGGAAAGGAAATGTGTGAGGGAAGAAAATGCAAACATAGTCAGGACCAGTGCCCTTTACGCACTGGAAAATCCGCACCAAACCAGGTTTCCCCCAAACAGGGTTTACTTTAGATCTCAATCTTTTGAGTTTCTTAACTAAAAGCACCAATTAAATTCCATCAGCTTTTACACAAAAGAAAGAGTGTGATAACAGCCTTGGCATTTCTCTGAAGAAAGTCTCTGAGAGTGCAAAAATGTCAATTCCCAACTGACTGTTAAATGTTGCCTGAAAACTTAAACAGAACTGTGCTCAAACTAAGGCTGCAAGGTGGGGTTTCATCAAGGCTTTAGAAGGGACATGTGACTGATCTGAATGTCCAGGATACTGAATTACAGCATTACATTTTCAGAGAGCCAGATGCTAGAAGTATTAATCAGCAAAGCCACCACAATATCACTGAGTTGTTTTGAGAAGTAAACACTGACATATCAGGCCCTTTCAGATGGGGCTTTCCAATTCCCTCCCACACACATTTTCTGGCACTCCCTGTAGCTTACCTCCCACAGAGCAGGTTGGACAGGAAACAATGTACATCTAGGCAATCAGCTATGCAACCTTTACCTCTAGGACTTTAAGGGAGGCCAGTTTTCAAGACTGTGGATTTCAACCCTTGCTCTAGAGTAGAGGTATCAAATCACTAGACCAGGGGAGCCACATGCGGCTCTTCAGAAGCTAATATGCGGCTCCTTGTCTAGGCACCGACTCCGGGGCTTGATCTACAGGCACCAACTTTCCAATGTGCCAGGGGGTGCTCACTGCTCAACCCCTGGCTCTGTCACAGGCCCTGCCCCCAACTCCACCCCTTCCCGCCCCCTCCCCTGAGCCTGCCGTGCCCTCTTCCCCGCGCCCCCGCTCCCCGAGCCTCCTGCATGCACGAACTGCTGATCAGGAGGTGCAGTAAGGGAGGAGGAGGCACTGATCGGCAGGACTGGGAGCCGTAGGAGGCTCTGGGAGTGGAGGGGGGCTGCTGACACATTACTGTGGCTCTTTGGAAATGTACATTGGTAAATTCTGGCTCCTTCTCAGGCTCAGGTTGGCCACCGCTGCACTAGACCTTCTCTCCAAAATAGGACTTCCTCGAGCCATCTCTAACTACAAGTACAGGGCACTGCAACAAACATTTCCACTCAAGAAAGTGGGATCTGACTCCCTTGCATACAACTTTGATCACCATTTTCAGCCTATGAACTGGCTGAAAATGGTGCCCCAATGCTATAATCCAACTTGGAACCAGAAGCTTCCAACAGGGAAATACAACAGAAGTTTCTTCCTAATTTCAAAGACAGAACTCTGGTGTCCTGCCCAGCATCACAGAGTGCTCCAACCACAAAGCTTTAGATGCAATATCTTACTATAACAAACACAGAGAGTGCTGCAAACCCTTTAATATTAATTCCCAAGGAGGAAAGAAAAGGAGGTGAAGCAATTCCAAGGGCCCGCAGGTCTGTACTACATTCCAAGGAAAGCCCATTGAACTAAGACTCCACCAAGAGCACTGAAATCTCTCTAGCAGAAAAACTACTCTGGCCAGCCACAAAACTTCAAGAAGTAACTCTGAAGCCTGAACCCTGTGGGATGGGACGTTAGCTTCCCCTCTACCGACCGAATTAAATTCTGGAAGGGGAGCCTTTGCTACTCACACAGATATTCAACTGGGTGTTCTTATTCTCTTACACAGGCTCAGCTGAGCTCTGATGAAAGGCTCCAGGCCTACAAAACTGATTGTAATGCAAAGTCCAGGGTATTAACATGTGGAATTTGAATCTGGACCAGGACAGGTTAAGATCCAAACAGACAAGAAAGCTCATCTATACTTATTAGCTGAACTCAACTCACAAGGAAGGTTGAGTCTCTTTTAGACCAATTTACTGGCTTCTCCCTCCTGGCCTTTATTTT